CAATATGGACCAAGCTCTCTGAGGAATGCTTCCAGCACCTTGTTGAATCTATGCCACGAAGAATTGAGGCAGTTCTGAAGGCAAAAGGGGGTCCAACCCGTTACTAGCATGGTGTACCTAATAAAGTGGCCGGTGTATATGTGTCTGTGTGTGTAGGTATATATGTGTGTGTGTGTGTAGGTATATATGTGTGTGTGTGTGTAGGTATATATATGTGTGTGTGTGTAGGTATATATATGTGTGTGTGTGTAGGTATATATATGTGTGTGTATGTAGGTATATATATGTGTGTGTGTGTATGTATATATATGTGTGTGTGTATGTATATATACTGTATGTGTGTGTATGTATATATTTGTGTGTGTGTATGTACATATGTGTATAAGTACATATGTATATATGTATATATATGAATGTGTATATACAGTGCATCCGGAAAGTATTCATACCACTTCACTTTTTCCACATTTTTTTGTGTTCCACCCTTATTCCAAAATGGATTAAATTCCCTTTCTCCATTCAAAAATTCTACACAAAATACCCCATAATGACAAAGTGAAAAACTTTTTTAGAACATTTTCCAATTCTATTAAAAATAAGAACACTTAAATGTTGCATATTCATAAGTATTCACACCCTTTATTAAATACTTGTTCGAAGCACCATCGGCAATGATAACAGCCTCCAGTCTTCTTGTATATGATGCAACAATCTTGGCACACCTGGATTTGGGGAATTTTTCCCATTCTTCCTTGCACATCCTCTCAAGCTCAGTGAGGTTGGATGGGCAGCATTGGTGCATAGCTACTTTCAGGTCTTTCCAAAGATGTTCAATCGGGTTCAAGTCTGGGCTCTGGCTGGGCCACTCAAGGATATTCAGAGACTTGTCCTGAAGCCACTCCTTTGTCTTCTTGGCCGTGTGCTTAGGGTCATTGTCATGCTGGAAGATGAAGTGTCGCCCCAGTCGAAGGTCTCGGGTGCTCTGGAGCAGGTTTTCATCAAGGATTTTGATGTACTTAGCTGCATTCAAGGCAGCGGGTGATAATTCAAAGGCAAAGCCCATATGTATGGGAGCGGACACGGATAAGGGATTTCTGGGAGAGGATTGTTCAGCTTTTCAAAGCCCATCTCCCTCATTTCTCCTTCTAGCTCCTAGTACAACTCTGCATTTGGCTGTTGTTTGCTATCAAGGATGGCGGTTATATTTTTCTCTTTTATTATTTGTAGAAATAACTCTGTCTCCTCCTCCGTCCACACATACCGTGCCATCTTTGCTTGAAATGAACTGGTCACATGACCCGCTATGTCACGTCCGGTGACGTAGAATTGCGAGAATAGTGTTTCCATTTTGCGATATACTTCTGTATCGACACATCTGAAAAACCACCTCATGAGAGCATAAAAACTTTTTAGCAATATTTGAGAGGTTTTTCAAAACTAAGGTGTTTCCATTATCAGTTTTCTATTGCGATATTTAGGTGTTGCGCAAATCTATGGGTAATGGAAACCCAACTACAGACAGGTGTGGCTTTCCAAATCATGTGCAATCAGCTGAATTTGCCACAGGTGGACTGCAATCAAGTTGGAGGAACATTTCAAGGCTGATCAAAGGAAACAGGATGCACCTGAGCTCAATTTTGAGTTTTATAGCAAAGGGTGTGAATACTTATGTATATGCAACATTTGAGTATCTTATTTTTAAAGAATGAGCAAAATGTTCTAAAAAAAGTTTTATTTATATATATATATATGTATATATATACAGTACAGGCCAAAAGTTTGGACACACCTTCTCATTCAATGTCTTTTCTTTATTTTGTTATATGACTATTTACATTGTAGATGATCACTGAAGGCATTAAAACTATGAATGAACACATGTAGAATTTTGTACTTGTGTGTGCAAAAAAAGTGTGAAATAACCGAAAACATGTTTTATATTCTAGTTTCTTTAAAATAGCCACCCTTTGCTCTTGATGACAGAAGTACCTTGTCAGGGTTACTTCAGGCACTCCTGTGAAGTAAAAACCATTTCAGGTGACTACCTCATGAAACCTCATTGAGAGAACAGCTAAAGTTTGCAGCGCTATCAAAAAAGCAAAGGGTGGCTACTTTGATTAATCTAAAATATAAAACATGTTTTCAGTTATTTCACACTTTTTTCTTAAGCACATGATTCCACATGTGTTCATTCATAGTTTTGAGAATCTACAATTTAAATAGTAATGAAAACAAAGAAAATGCATTGAATGAGAAGGTGTGTCCAAACTTTTGGCCTGTACTGTATACATATATGTGTGTGTGTGTGTGTGTACACTACAGGCCAAAAGTTTGGAAGCAAGGCCATTACAGGCCGAACAGTTGGGAGTAACTTAAAGTTTTTGTTCACAATGCTTTTTTTAAAAATCCAGCATGGGTTTTATTTATTTTGGGATGTATTTACTTCATGATCAGATGTTGCTTTTATGAAAATGCACCAGTTTACTGTGTTTACCTTTAGATATACATTGCTGTTAACAGACCATTGCTAAATGTATGTCAGCAAAAGATAATAAGGGCTTAGTTTTAGGTTTGAAAACATTTGCAAGAGTCACAACTTAAGTGCAAAAGCAAAAATAAAAAACAGATTGGATTATTTACTTCAACTTTTTGGATTTTGAGAGTCTGCATACAAAAATCCTAATAAATCTCAGCTGCATTCAAACTACCGCAAAAATGGCTAGAAAGAAGCAACTGAGTAAAGAAACAAAAGTACAGATTTGTACATTGAGGAAAGAAGGATACACAGAAAGAGAAATTGCAAAACGCCTAATGGTGTCTAACAAAGGACTCCACTACATTCTGAAGAGACTAGAGGAAACTGGAAGTTATGATGACCTGGACGAAAGAGAGTTACTGCAAAAGCAGAGGATAAACATATTATTGTCACCAGAAAGAGAGAGAAAGGCTGGTCTGAAGGGTTGTGTATCTGCAAAAAAACACTACTTCATCCACAGAACAAGAAAAAGAGATATGAGTGGGCAAAAGCTCACAAAAATTGGACTTATGATGACTAGAAACAAGTTTGCACTGTTTGGATCAAAACGCAGAGTCTATGTCCGCAGACAAACTGGTGAACATCTCGAAGCACCATGTGTTACACCCACAATTCAGCATGGAGGTGGTAGTTCCATGGTATGGAGATGTTTTGCAGGTGATGAAGTAGGAGATTTGTTTGAAGTAAAGGGTATCATGAAGAAGGAACAGTACCACTCCATCCTCCATCACCATGCTGTTCCATCTGGACTCAGACTTGTGAGTCATAAGTTTATTTTGCAGCAAGACAATGACCCGAAGCACTCTGCCAAGCTCTGTCAGGGTTACCGAGACAAAAAAGAAGAGGAAGGTGTTCTTCAAAAGATGGTTTGGCCCCCCTCAGTCTCCAGACCTTTCTCCAATTGAGCTTGTGCGGGATGAATTGGATCAATCGGTCAGAAAAATGCGTCCCACAAATCAGCAGTCTCTTTTTATTGAACTTAATAAAGCTTGGAATGCAATGCCTGGAACATACCTTAAAAAACTTGTGGAACGAATGCCTGGTATATGCCATGCTGTTGTTAAAGCCATAGGAGGTTAGTTTAAAGAAAGCAAAGTCTAAGCAACAATAACTCAAATACCTAGTAATTATAGTCAAAATGTCTTCTGATAAGTTACTCTTTACACAATAGTCATGTTTATTGTGTTGCAAATTGTATATATGAAACTATCTTTTTTTGTGCAAATCTGATCTTGCTTCCAAACTTTGGCCTGTAGTGTATATGTGTATAGATATATGTATATATTTACATGTATATGGAAAACCTGAAAAAGTGATTCTGTGGTTTATGGCGGACTCTCTGGTCCCTGACTGTGGTCCCTGCAGGTCTGAGGTTCAGGTGTGTATTTGTGTCTCAGGTGTGTAACAGTAATAAGAACTGCCACTGTGAGGTGGGCTGGGCTCCTCCTGACTGCAGGTTCTCAGGTCACGGCGGCAGCGTGGACAGCGGCCCAGCTCGCACGCCTGGAGGTGATATACACACACACACACACACACTGTGGAGAGGTGAAGCTGGCCCTGTTTGACCTCTGACCTCTGTATTTAGATTCTGACCCGGTCCGAGTGGCTCTGCTCATCATCTTCCTCTTCGTCCTCCCCGTCGTCCTCCTCTTTCTCGCTCTGAGGTTCCCTCGCTTCAGACGGGCGCTCCTCTGCGCCAACAGCCCGTTTCACAAAGCCCGCCAGCACAGCCGGTAACAGTCAGTGTGTGTGTGTGTGTGTGTGTGTGTGTCTTCAGCTTCATTTCACTTTAATAAGATTTCATTAAAGCTCCTGTGAGTGATTTTTAGCAGGAAGTCTGACAATCTTTAAAGGATTAATATGAAAGGGTTCGAGGACAGCATAGACACATATACTGTCAGAAAGTTCACTTTGTCCACAGTAGGCATGTGCTGATATGAAAAATTTGATATCACGATGTTGGTGGCCCAAAATACCATGATTCACAATATTATCATGATATTATCACGATGTTAGCACATTGCTTTTAATATTAATAAAAATGGCAAAAAAAAACTGCAAAATCACTTCTCTGTTAAACAATATTTATTCTTTGACAGGGCTTAAGTAAACAACAATGGCAACGCCACAGTGATTGAAAATGAATAAATACAATATAAATAATGCAAGACACAACAAAAGAAAAATAATACTGCCTTGTCTGTCTGGCTGTAGCCATTACTGAATGAAAATAAAGTGCCTAAAGTAGCAATAGTGCCAACTTCCAATTATACTAGATTATATACCGGCTGTACTTCTTATAAAAACAAACAAAACAAAAATGACATTGGCTGAGAGCCTTGTGTGGCCTAGGGAGTGAGATGTGGAACCATAGCCCTTTTCAAGTTAGATTGAAGTGCAAAAAAGTCAGCATGTCCACTTTTTCTGGCTTTATTTTTTTCGCAGAGGTGTGACAATGTGTCCACTGGCACTAAATACACATTCCGAAGGCACACTAGTTGCAGGTATGCAAAGAAACTGGCGTACAACATTGGAGAGATGGGGCATTTCGCCTGAATGTTCTTTCCACCACTGCAATGGATCCCACTCCAACCGTGGCCGTTTCACTGATGGATCCCCCTCCTCATCCTCAAGTTCCTCAATGGCAGGAAGAATTGGAAGACACATGTAGACTTTCACCTCTGTCCTCACCTGCCATGACAACACAAAAAAAAAAAAAAAAGTACTTTTGTTCATCATATATTCAGTTCAATTTCATTTCATCTGTTCCTCTGGACTGGTGGCACTGGTGGCTTCTTCGGCTCGCTGCTGCTGCCTTGTTACAGTGATTGTCTTAAGCAAACCAGCCAGGCTGCCAGGCTTATGTGTTTTAAGGGGCTCTCTGAGTGTGCTCATTGTGCTGGAGGATGAGCATACAGCTGCGGCGCTGGCAGTGGGCTGTGGCAGTCTGACTTCAACTGATGTTTTCATTTTTAGGGCCTCCTGTACACAGATGTTGATTGTGTTGTGAAGGTTTTCAGAGAACTCTCCTTTGAAGCGCGGGTCTAGGAAACATGCTATTTCCATCACTCCCTCTGCTTCCTCTGAATACCTTGGGCTCTATTTTGGTGCCTCGCCGGAGACGTGCCGCAAGCGCAGCGTCAGTCAGATCCGCCGCGCTGACAAGGTGTTCCCAAGCACATTTTGGTATTTTGGTGAGCCGCGCAGCCCGGCGTAAGTATCCCCCCTCCCTAACTCAGCTCCTCCCAGCACCATAAGTCGTAGACGGGGAGGAGAAAGGGTGTGTTAACACAGCCGAGACCTGTTTTCACCAATCACATAAGCTCCTCTCCTTGCCTTTAAATCCGCCACAGGCGAGGCGTATTACTATTTTCATGAAGTAGTCAAAGAGATCAAGAGATGTCTTAAGACAGTAATGCCACAAGATGGCGACAGAGGGCAGCTCCTCAACAAGTGTCCTCCACACTCTCTCATATGAGCACAGATGGATTTGGTGTGCGTAATGTTGGACCCACTGGTAAGACAAACACCCTTTTCCACAAATAAAGACACTAACATAAAGTTGCTCATATTCAAACCTCACGTGACAAAGGTGGGTTGAGCGCACAGATCACAACATAAACTCCAAAAATGGCATTAAAATCGGAACCGTCTGTGCGTAAATGACGCATCGCGCTCCGTGGCCTGGCTCTGTCTTTCATAGATGTTGGCATATAAAATAAATTTGGCTCACAAAACTGAATATTATAATATCCGTATGTCGGCTTAAAGTAGATAACGCATCTGAGCACTGAAACAAATCATCTGTTCAGCTGCAGCAGCAGCAAGACGGACAGAGGACACGGAGACATGTCCAGGTCGAGCTGTGCAAGAAATAAGAGGAAGAGGAAGAAAGAAAAGGAGGGAGACGAATTACATATCTTGTTAACTTCATCATGTGTGTTATTTACTAGATATTTAATTTAATTTGATGCGGTTTCAGCTGTGTTGATTCGGTCAGGTTGTGTGTCCAAACGCGCTCATCAGATCAGATATAGATCAGAATATATCGATATAGATCTAAATGTATGTGCTGACTCAGATTAATAGTTGTTGATGATTATTTATTGCACTGAAATCTGCCTGACACTGTGGAAACCTGCCGGTGAGGCATCGGTGACATATGTCGATACGCCGCCGGTCTACCAAAATACTACTAGACCAGCTGCGTTCCGCCTTGCGCTGAAAGCTGACCAGGTTTGAATCGGCGAGCTTTCAGCGCACTTTACACGCCGGTGGCGAGCACGAAAATGTCACTGCGCCTGCTGATTCTGTCGACACCTCCCCCTGCCACGCCACCACACCCAGCTTGGCGGATCTCGGCTCGCCTCCGTGCGGCTCAGTCCACGAAAATACCAAACTGGCCTTACGCCGGGCTCCGCCAGACGAAAATACAACTGCGCCGGGCTCGCCGCCCTCCGCCGCCTCACCGGCGCGAACGAAAATAGAGCCCCTTGAGTCAAGATCACTCCTCATCAAACGCTTCATCTCTCTCACCAGTGGTCGGTCTCCTTCACATGGCTCCAGGATCTGGCATCTGATGTGCTCCAAGCATGGCTTGATAGCTGAGAGTGTAACCCTCGCCTCTGAGGAGAGCGCATCCGTAAACTGGTGAAGTGGGCCAAGGAGGGCACACACTTGCTCCATCACGGTGATATGAGAGTCTTTTGGCATCAGGTGCCATGCCCCTCTTTCTCCAGCCAGTGCTGTGCTGACTGCTTGTTGTTGGCTGAGGAACCGTCCTCATACGTTGGTCCCCACTGAGTAACGACATTAGGCCTGGGCGATTTGGCAAAAAAAATGATCCTGATATATTTTGTCATATCGTCCGATCTCGATTATTATCACAATTTTTTTTTAAACTGACAGTTTTAAAGCATCTGTACTAAAAACTAAAAAAACTAGAGATTAGTTCAACATTTTATTAACATACAAAGTAAATAACAAAGCAAATTGAATAAGATACACTTAGAAAAATATAAAAAAACATTTTAACTCAACAGTACAACAAATGTAGATAAATACTAAGTAATACAGAGAATTAGTTTACAGTCCTGAGTGTTTTTGCAGGTATGCAAGACCCAAAATAAGTAAATCGTCCCCTCAAGGACAATGAAGACACTTTAAAATGTAAACATTAGGTGATGTAAACGTAGATGATATGCATACCTGTCAACATTTGGGTTATAAAATCCAGGAGTTGTTTGCGGGGCACGCTGGGCAGTTTTAGAGTGACCTCGTATGGTGGATATGAGCTCATTATGAGAGTATTTGTAATTAGATTGCTCATCCAAATAAGTATAAGTGAGGCTGGACACTTTTTTATTTTAACAATAACAAATGGTAATAAAAAAATAATAGCTATGATATGCCTTGAACTAATTTAGTCCACTAATATTAGTGTTAAAGTCCTCATATGTTTTACATGCTCTCCCATATGAGGCTCTCTGAACATCTGTACATGAAATACAGCACTCTTTTATCTGAGGCTGCCCTGAATGCATCACTCTCGCATATCTTGCGTTTGTTTTCCTTTCATCGAAATGTTCATTTTGCAACAAACATTGCTTAAATATAGTTTACAGCTGAAACCGACCTAAATCATCCCAAACTGTAAAGTAAAAGTATCAATCCAGTGTCTGTGAGGCTCAGCAGAAACAGGACAATCTTCGGTTGTCTGGAAACCTGGAAACCTAAGACAAATATAGTGACCCGATTCATGAATGAATGCGGACCATGCTACAAGAAATTCCCGGGAGAAATGCCAATACGGGGGGTGGGTGGGAGATCGGTCTGCTTTGGTCTGGTGGCTGCACCGCTAGTTGTAGCTAAACTGCTAATGCTACTTGTACCGTCAGCAGTGACAGGCTGTGCAGACTCCGCTCGCATTTTCATTCTTCCTGCATACTCACTCGGGAACAACTTCTTCAAATGATTAAACAGATTTGTTGTGGCCCTCACTTCACACATCATGAAAACCCTGGAGCGGCTGATTCTAAGCCTTCTGAGGTCTGAGGTAAAAGACAAACTGGACTCCCTGCAGTTTGCATACAAAGAACACATTGGAGTGGATGATGCTGTCCTCTACATGCTTCACCATGCCCTGTCTCATCTAAAAGAACTGGGGTTTATGTGAGGATCATGTTCTTCAACCTTTTCAAGTGCATTCAACACCATCCAACCCACCATACTCAAAGACAAGCTCACAGAAATGAGTGGATCCCTCCTGTGTTTTCCTGGATCGTAGATTACCTGACAGAAAGGCCACAGTTTGTCAGGCTGGGGAACTGTGTTTCTGGGACATTAATGTGCAGTACAGGGGCTCCACAAGGGACAGTGCTGGCGCCATTCCTGTTCACACTGTACACGTCAGACTTCAAATACAGTACTGAGTCCTGCTACATCCAGAAATACTCAGATGACACCGCTACTGTGGCATGTATCAGAAATGGACAAGAAGCTGAATACAGAGATCTTATAAGAGCCTTCAGTGACTGGAGTCACAAAAACTGCCTCCTCCTCGACACCTCAAGGACAAAGGAGATGGTCATAGACTTCTGTAGATCCAAACCCTCTCTTCAGCCAATGAACACCTGTGGAGTGGACATCGAAGTGGTGACATCTTGTAAATACCTAGGTGTACATCTGGATAATGAGTTGGATTGGTCTAAGAATATAGACTACATCTACAGAAAGGGGCAGAGCCACCTCTTTTGCCTGAGAAGACTCCGATCAATAGACATCTGTAGTAAGACGCTGCAGATGTTTTATCAGTCTGTGGTGGCAAGTGTGCTGTTCTACGCTGCAGTCTGCTGGGGAGGAAGCACAAACACAAAGATGCAAGACGTCTTAACAAACTGGTGAAAAAGGCTGGCTCTGTGGTAGGACTCAAGCTGGACTCAGTGGAGGATGTGGTGGAGAGATCTACACTGAGGAAGGTGGAGACTATTCTCAAGAACATGGATCACCCACTTCACAACACCTTGATGGACCAAAGGGCAAATGGTGGTGGACAGCTCCTCTCTCTTCGCTGCAGGACAGAAAGATTTAGAAGATAATTTGTACCAACAGCCACCAGGCTTTAAAACTCTGTAAATAATAGATAACTTTTATAGACATATTACGTGAGACAACAAACAATTGAATTTCCCTTCGGGGATCAATAAAGTTCTTCTTATTCTCATTCTTATTCTTAATAAGCAGTAGAGTAGACTGAACTTGTTGCGGTCATGTTGTTTTTACCTTGATTTGGTCGAACAATGCTGGATGATGTTCACAGAGGTGGGCACATAGGTTTAAAGTGTTAGACAACGGCGCTGCAACTTCCTTATGGCATAACCAGCAGATTCGTGTCAGGTTTACCTGCTCCATCTGTTTTGTGAAGCCGTAAAACGTCCATACTGTGGACAAAACCTTTTTAATAGGAGGATACAGCCAAGACATTCCGACATTTCGACATTCTCACTCTCCGACTGTTCTTGGTCCGGCTGCATCGTTACAATGGTTGGAAGTTGGAACATGTGCTTCAACTTTTTTTTCTTCTTCAAACTGCTTCCGGTTCATGGAGTGGACATGGTCCAACAGTGCTTTGGGTGGCCGCAATGCACTGTAGGTGGCCACACATTTTGTTGTAAAATTTTCTCGTTTTTGTTAGGCTGGCATTAATGTACTTGATTCAAGAGTTTGTTTTGGATTTGGGACTACTTTTGTGGCTGTTTGCTTGTACATTTTGCTACCAAGGCTTTGACACCGTGGGTAAGACTACAAGCGGGTTAGGTTGGTTAGTACTCGGCTTCGCTAGCCTCTGCTAAGTGACGCTGCCACTCGTCTTTAAATCATAAATGTGGAACGATTATTACAGTACCCTACGATTTCATCATCGCGGCCATTTAATATCGCAATAAAATCGTATATCGGCACATCCCTAGTCCACAGGGGGGCGCCAAAGTGAACACAGACTTAACAGTTTTCACAGGAGCTTTAAAGAGGATTGTATTTCTCAGTTTTCTATGATGATTTTCAGATTTAAAGTCTTTGTCGTTTTTGGTAAATTTTGACTCTTTTTTTCAGCAGCTGTTAAAAACAAACAGAATTAAAGAGGAATTAAATTTACAGAATTAAAACATTAAATTTAACAGAATTAAAGGAAAATTAAATTTAACAGAATTAAAGAATTAAATTTAACAGAATTAAAGAAGAATTAAATTTACCAAAATTAAAGGTAATATAAAACAGAAACAGAAAATAAACTTAATTTCTTTGGGTTTTTAACAACTAACGGGTTTTATAAAAAGTGTTTTCTGCTGATGAAGGTGCTTTTTTATTTTTTACCCACAATGCAGTGTGACTCACTTTGAAGAGCTGGGTCAGGAGTTTGACCCCACCCACACCTCCAGGTACTGCTGGTTCTGGTCTGTGATGTGTCCCTGTAAAATTTACCTGAGCCCACCTGAGTTCACCTGAGCTCACCTGAGCCCACCTGAGTCCCCCTGAGCCCACCTGAGTTCCCCTGAGTTCACCTGAACTGACCTGAGCCCATCTGAGTTTACCTGAGCTCACCTGAGCCCACCTGAGTTCACCTGAGTTCACCTTAGTTCACCTGAGCCTACATGAGCTCACCTGAGCCCACCTGACCCCACCTGAGCTCACCGTAGTTCACCTGAGTTCACCTGAACTCACCCGAGCCCACCTGAGTTTACCTGAGCTCACCTGAGTTCCCCTGAGTTCACCTGAGCCCACTGGAACTTACCTGAGCCCATCTGAGTTTACTTGAGCCCACCTGAGCTCACCTGAGTTCACCGTAGTTCACCTGAGCCCACCTGAGTTCACCTTAGTTCACCTGAGCCTACATGAGCTCATCTGAGCCCACCTAACCCCACCTGAGCTCAGCTGAGCCCACCTGAGTTCACCTGAACTCACCTGAAGCCACCTGAGTTCACCTGAACTCACCCAAGTCCACCTGAAGCCACCTGAGTTCACCTGAACTCACCCGAGTCCACCTGAGCCTACCTGAGTTCACTTGAGCCCACCTGAGCTCACCTGAGTTCACCGTAGTTCACCTGAGCCCACCTGAGTTCACCTTAGTTCACCTGAGCCTACATGAGCTCATCTGAGCCCACCTAACCCCACCTGAGCTCAGCTGAGCCCACCTGAGTTCACCTGAACTCACCTGAAGCCACCTGAGTTCACCTGAACTCACCCGAGTCCACCTGAGCCCACCTGAGTTCACCTGAGCCCATCTGAGTTCACCTAAGCCCATCTGAGTTTACCTATAGAGCAGATCCACCTGAGGACTTGAAGCTCCTGTGATCCAGATCCCTCTCAGGTTCAGGTCTCGGGTTTTGGATTTAAATCTGGACTTTAATCTCTGATTGGCCACATCAATCACCTCAGATGTCAGAGGGGTTTTTGGGTAATAGAGTCCTCAAAGTCAGACCAACAGTCATGTTCTTGTCTCTGTGATGGTTTTTAGAGCAGACCCAGAACTCCCGATGTTAACCCTCTCACCTCCAGCAGCTGTTTGTGTGTCTTTATTATTAAATATCATCATTTCAGTTAAAGACATAAACAGCATCATGATTTCCAACTTAACTCAGACTCATGACATCATCATTTTTTTTTTCTTTCCTACTTCCTGTCTGGTCAGGACGCCAGCGATGGAGCGAGTGGACGGCAGGAACGGAGAGCAGGTCCGACCTCTGAGATATCACCTGAAGCTGCAGACTGACATCCCGCTGACCCTGCCTCGCGCTCAGGTAAACATGGTAACCTCTCCTCCCCCTCACAGGAGGGAATTTATTCAGACCTGTCAACAGGAGGACATGTTGGAACCCTGAGGAGAGACGCTCAGAGTTCCTGCAGTTCTGACAGTCAGTGAATGCCCCTCAAACTCTGAACGTCAGGAGGATCTAATCTACTTTATTTCTATATCACATTTTAAAAAACATTCAAGTTTACCAAAGTGCTGCACAATAAAATTAAAAGAACAGACAGAAAACATCAAGACGAAATAAGTAATGGCAGGTAAAAAACATTTAAAATTAAATAAAATAAATGAAATAAAAACACAAAAGCATAAAAGAAATAAAAGAGATCACACAACTCTCATGCTGACCTAAAAGCCAAGGAATAAAAATGCGTTTTAAGACGTGATTTAAAGGTAGACAGAGTGAAGGGATGTTTTCATCTCAAGGATTTAGTAGCCACAGTCGAGAAAGTTCGGTCGCCACGGGTTTTTAAGGAGTTTTAGGGACGAGGAATTGGAGCTGATCAGCTGACCTCAGGGAACATTTCAGAGGTCAGAGATGTACTGTGATGCTGATCCATTTAAAGATTTAAAAACGAACTATAAAGTTTTAAAATGAATTCTAAAATGAACAGGAAGCCAATGGAGGGATTCCAGAATTGTAGTGATGTGGTCATGTTTACATTTACCTGTTAAAAGATGAGCAGCAGCATTTTGGGAGAACTGTAACTGTGTGAGAGAAACCTGTTTAACACCAACGTAAAGAGGGTTACAGTCGTCCAACCAAAGTGTGGAAATAAAAACAGGAATGACTCGTTAAAAATCATGAAAATATCAAAACGATTTAATCTTGGAGAAAAGCCTCAGATGATAAAAAACTGGATTTAGAATTTTTGATTTAAAATCACCGTCAACTTTTACACCAAACTGTGGATTTAAAATAAGATACAAGAGAGGGGTCTCCTCTGGAGCCAAAGATGATAAATTGGGTATATTATTTATTCGTTTTTTTTTAACAAAATTTAAAAAACTCAGTCATCCAGTCTCTATATCTTTAAAACCAGACCTTTTAGAAAAAAGGTTTAAAAAAAAGGTTTCCTTTTAAAAGCAGACCTTTTAGAGAGCTACCAACATTTATCTTTATTTGAAAGTAGGTCTGAGTGTCGTCTGCATACAGATGGTTAGATATACCAAGAGGGAGGAGATAGAGGGAGAACAGGAGGGGACCAAGAATAGAGCCTTGGGGTTCTCTGCAGGGTAGGGGGGCACAAGAAGAGACACAGTCACCAACTTTCACTTTAAAACAAATGATTAAGACCTGAACCAGTTCAGAGCTGAGCCTGTTAAACCAACACAGAGTTGGAGGAGAGCGATTAGAGATCATGTAATGTCTCGGTGTCAGGCCATGTCTCTTTAAATTATATCTTAAATTCTCACACTGTGTGCGGTTGTGTGTGTGTATGTGTGTGTGTATGTGAGGGTGGGTGTGTGTCTTTGTGTGCGTGTGGGTCCATGGGTGTGTGTGTGGGTGGAAGGGTTGGGTTTTTGTCTTTATTGTTGTTTTTAGCCTTTGTGAGGCACTTTGAATTGCATTTCCTTTTGTACGAAAAGTGCCATATAAATAAAGTTGAATTGAATTGAATTGAATCCACTGAGTCAAAGTCAGCTGTTCAGTCTAAAAGTATGAAAAGACCTGAGTCATCAGAATGAGTAAAAGATCATTAAAAACCCTTCACAGTGCTGACTTAGCGCTGTGAAATGACTTTAAAAGTCCTTTCACACCGGGAGTGTTTTTTTCGTGTGATTATTTCGGATGTCAGTATATTTTTTCGAACCTGTATCCTGTCAATACAAGCGTTCACATCAGCGACGTTTTCCCGTTCTGTGATATTGCTGCATATAGTTTTTGGATCACGGTCAATTTCCCTAAAGTTTCGCACACTGTATGTCCACTTCTGACTAATCAGATTGCTTGTTGTTGCAACATCAGATTCACTGGTATATCCAACATGGCCGACCAGCTGATTGTTTATGTGTCGGAGAACAGAGTGCTTTTTGATAAAAGACACAAACGTTACAAAGATAACGACCTGAAGGACGTTCACCTTCGCATATGTTTTGTCATGAATTTATCAAATGTTCCGTTACTGTTTGTACCGCAACAGCAGCTGGAACAAACAAACAGGACTTTCCTCTCACTAAATGGGTACATTATAAACAAGTGTTATCTTACCTCAGACACACGGCTAGTCGCTGCTCCGGGTCAATCGACTCCCTGAAATGAGTTCTCTGCCTCTTTAAACTTTGAGCTAATTGTTTCAGCAGAACTTCAAATTGTCCAACGGACAGCCGAAAATAGGTTCTGAAGCGACCATGGTACAGTTTCAGCTCCTGAACCAAGCAGTGAAGCTCACCAAGTTCTCTTCTTTTTTGTAATATTGGATGCACCCATGTGCTACGTTTCTTTTTCTTTTGAGAAATCAAAAGGAGTACCAATTCGCCATCACTTGAAGTTGAAGTAGACTCCATTTTTGTCTTCTCACTTCCATCCAGGATGCTGTAGGATGGTAAGGGAAGGTCCCGCCCTCCTTCGCCTCTGATTGAGCGTGTGTGACGTTTCCAGTTTTTCTAGCCCAGGGGTCGGCAACCTTAAACACTCAAAGAGCCACTTGGACCAGTTTCCCACAGAAGAGAAAACACAGGGAGCCACAAAACCTCTTTGACATCTAAAATGAAGATAACATTGCATATATCTTTTTTTTTTTTTTACCTTTATACAAAGTATATAAAAAAACTGTAGCGAGTTGCATTTATGAAATAAATGAACTATTTCGGCGAGTGTCTGTCTTCTTCTGTAGTTAAACCGCAAGATATCAAAATCTACCCGGATACAGCAATGCTGCTTTTTGATTGGCTGTTCAGTAGATTTACTTTATTTGATTGGCTTGTGCGTGGCACGCAGCTTCTGAACTCTCAGAGGAACTCAGTTGATTTCCCCCAGTTCCATAGTTGAAGAAGTGCAACTTGGTGGACATCACCGTGTTCATTTAGATGCGTGAGAAATACAATGTGTGGTGTGTGAGCGTGTGAACGAGTGGGAATGCGTGTGTCATACGCTGAATGCGTGAGACTTGAGAGCCCTGTGCTCACGCATCATCGATGTACTCCCGAGCCATGCAAAACGGTCTTTGCAAATGTTGCACTGAACGCCTTCCTTTTCAGTCTTGGTGAAGTTTTCCCACACCACTGATGTTTTAGGTCGGGATTTGGGTTGGGTTGTGTCCATGTTTTTCTCAGCCGCTGCCTCGGCCATGGCTGTTTCTTTTCTGTGCGTCCTGCTGATGTTTACACGCCGGTGTCCATGGACATATATAAAGACCCGACGAATCGATTACAGAATTTGTTGGCAACGGATTTTTTCGTCACGACGAATCTACTTAATCGATTCGTTGTTGCAGCCTTAATAGTTTATTTAATGTTACAAGAGCATTATAATCTTTGAATTTAGAATTACAAAAAAAAATAATAATAAAATAAAATAAAATGCAATTAAGTATTTATTATTTATTTTCCAAATCCATTGGGAGCCGCAGCTTAGGGAAGAAAGAGCCGCATGCGGCTCCAGAGCCGCGGGTTGCCGACCCCTGTTCTAGCCAATCAGAGGCGAAGGACGGGGGACTTCCCCTGGGAAAAGTCTTCCCCGGGATGCGTCTTTTCCCCCCCAGAAAGTCGTAAAATTGCTTCGGGTTTGATGTGTATAGTCAGGCGCATCAAAATTCGCCTCAGAATATTTCGTAATTTCATGTTCTATATTTGCGTTGGCCCCGGTGTGTAAGGACCCTGAATCTGAGTGAAAAATGTCAAGAACGCCACGGTCATCAAAATAAGACTGGATTTGTAGGAGCTCTGCTTTTTAAGGATGTTGTCAGTCCAGGACCAGAGTCCGAGCAGAAATGTTATCTACACTTGAACCAGAACAGGAAGTTGTCCTTCTCTAAAATGAGGAACCTTCATGTCCCTCTTTCTCACTTTCAGCTCTGTCTGTTGTGCAAAGAAAACACGTGGTCCTCATGCTTTTATTGTGAAAGAGTCTCTGACAGGAAGTGACTGCTGCAGATAGTTATGATAAACTTTTCCTCACTTTGATAACACTCCTGCCTGTTTGACCTTTGACCTCCTCTGCAGTGCATGTGTCACTCTGCCTCTGCTTCCTGTTTTCTCTCCTATCAGGAACATGACCGACCTGCTCCTCCCTCTAAGCCACTCCCCCCTGACCCCGCCCTAAAACCCCCGCCACAGGTAACCTCACCTGACCTCAGCTGGAGGTGCTAACGTCTGTCTGTGTCTCTGCTGATAAACAACTGTGTGGTCTCTGTCCTCCAACTGCTGCCCAGCATGATGTTTGAGTCTTTTTGTCCATCTTCTCATAGGTCCTCATAGGTCTTCTCAGTTTTGATTTAAACTCCTGGGTCCTCATTTATCAACTGTGTGTTCAAACAGATGTGTTTGCGTAATGAGTGTGTACGAACATTCCTACGTAAAGTCTGGAATTGATTAACCTGTACTTGTTCTTAGGAATGTGAGTAAATTGAAGCCCATCTCTGAGCATGCTTACACACAAAGCCTAGTGGTAGAACAGTGAAACTACAACTAGAACCCATGAAAGGAGTCAGTGTTCAGCAATCTCAAACTTCACACATGTTCTGTTCCCTCTGTAGAAAATTGATCAATTAGTTATTGATCAGACATTTTGAATGATTGGTGTGACAAGCCATAAAATCAGCTGAGACAGGACAACCTCAGAAGAAGTCTTACAAGTACAAACACAAGTACAAATTCAAGTACAAATACAAGTTCACATACAAGTACAAATACAAGTACACATACAAGTTCAAATACAATTACAAACACAAGTACAAATGCAAGTATAATTACAAGTACAAACACAAGTACAAATACAAGTATCACGGCTTATTTTGCGCTATTGGAGGACTTGGAGAAGCGTCTGCTCCTCCTCAAGAAGCGCGTTTTCAAAGAGCGTGCTGATCTGTTCAGTGAGAACACAGAGTGGATTCTCAGCAGGTACCGCTTCCCCAAAACATTTGAATGAATTTATGATCCGTGATTTACAACTCGTTTTGGAGCGAGAGACAAAACGCACCATCCCAGTGACCATCCAGCTCCTGTCCACCCTAAGCCAAACAATTTCAGCCTGAGATCGGAGACATATACGACATTTTACAGCCAACGCTTAGCAGAATCATATCTGCAGAGTTGGACGCAATAATTTCTCAGACCTCAACTTACATCCAGTTCCCGAACACACATCAGCAACAAGCCGAAATAAAATGAGGATTTCACGCCATCGCAGGATTCCCAAACACAATTAGAGCCGTAGATTTTTTTTAAACCTGGTCTTACTTTCTGATCATGTGACTTTTCTCTCTGCTGCTTTAATTCCTCAAACAGCGACCTGCCCCCCCCACCAAGCCTCTGCCCCCCGACCCCCCCAACCAGGTACAGTCACCTGTCTGTCCTGTCTGTCCACATGATCATAGACTCTACAGGGCCCCCTCATGTTACAGTTTGAGAAACAGCTGATCACATTTCAATCAAACATATTGATAAGAAACATTTGTGACTGAACCAATCGACCCGACTTCAAAATCCAGAACTTTATCGTTCCAGAATGATTGACAGCTGATTAATCAAAAAAACTGTTTAGAGAGACAAAATGAGACAAAATGAGAAACACGAGGAAACCAAATAGCTGATCAACAGTTTCAGTTTTTTCCTCTTGTCTCATCCTGTCTCCTGTCTCCTGTCTCCTGTTTCCTGTCACCTCCGTCTCCTGTCTCATCCTGTCACATGTCTCCTCCTGTCACCTGTCTCCTGTCTCCTCCTGCATGTTAAACTGATTTTAGATTTAAAGTTAATTTTCTTTTTACTGTTTTGAAGTTGAACTGCCTGCTGTCAAACATCTTCTTCCTCCTCCTCCTCCTCCTTCTCCTTCTCCTCCTCCTCTTTTTCCTTCTCCTCCTCTTTTTCCTCCTCCTCCTCTTCCTTCTCCTCCTGCTCCTCCTTCTCATCCTCTTCCTCCTCCTCCTACTCCTCCCCCTGTTCTTCTTCCTCCACCTACTCCTCCTCCTCCTCCCTCTCTTCCTTCTCCCTCTCCTCCTTCTCCTCTTCCTCCTCCTCCTCCCCCTTCTTCTCTTCCTCCTCCTCCTTCTTCTCTTCCTCCTCCTCACTAACCTTTTAGCTGCTGGTGAGTCGACCAGCTCCGCCCACCAAGCCACTCCCCCCTGACCCCACTTCACCTGGACAGGTACACCTGCATGATGGCAGCTGTTGGCATGTAGCATGTAGCATCTTAAGCGTGTAGCATCTTTAGCACATAGCATCTTTAGCATGTAGCATCTTTAGCGTGTAGCATGTAGAAGGTCAATATACAGATACTGAGATCTGGATCAGGACTTTCACTGATCCGGCCCTCCAGACTCGACTAAAGTTGTGATGACAAACGACAAGAATGGATTAGACAGGAAGTGACATGATTAGATAGGAAGTGACATCATAAGACAGGAAGTGACACGATCAGACAGGAAGTGATGTCACACAAATGAAGTCATGCATCAGTCTGGAGCTGTGTCCGAATTGCCAAGTAGTAGTCGAAGTAGTATCTAGCATGTCCGAATTGGCCGCCGGAGCGAGTAGCATGCTACTTCAGATACTACTTCAGATACTAGACACGCACAAATTGTAGGTCGGTCACGGTGCATCCTACGGGCATGCTACTGACCCAAAATGCACCGCGGGCTTCTTCTTCGTCCTCTTAAAAGTTGTAGAAGCACATGTGATGCTAGCACCACCAGCTGCTCTGCCTATTTAAATGTGTCGCGAACGCCGGCTGGCCAAAGCAGCGCGCACCATGGCAGAGCAGCAGCAGCAGCAGGGGGCAGGACCGCAGCAGTGCAAATGTATTTTTAATGTAACTTCACACACTGCCCTAAAGAAATGTGCGGTTGTATCTCTTTGTCATGTCATGGTGTCATATTTGCCCAAGTAATCATTTTATGAGCAAATATGTGGCGACATCATGGAGGTAAAGCTCACTTCCATCATTAAACTGCACAGCTGCAGTAATAAGGCAGATCTCATTGAACAAACGTTCACCACGTGAGTGAATGAAGGCTAAAAGTAATGGAAAAGCTACTTTGTGAATTTCTAAAGCAGTGCAGGAATATAATACAGCAGCATCCATCACTTGCACAATTACCATTCAAAGAGTCTAAAACGGGCACAGTACCTACTCTCTGCCTGCGGGGGTCGTCTTTCCCCACCGCTCGTCAAGTGTGTCCGAACTGGGCCACCGTGTTTAGTATGTAGGAGTAGGATCTAGCAGTAGCACGTAGCAGTAGCATGTAGTATGCAAGCGGGCAATTCGGACACAGCATGGGAGACCTGGACCTGTGATGCGTCCGAATTGCCAAGTAGTAGTTGAAGTAGTATGTAGCATGTCCGAACTGGCCACCGGAGCGAGTAGCATGCTACTTCAGATACTACTTCAGATACTAGACACGCCCACATTGTAGGATGGTCGCGGTGCATCCTACGGGCATGCTACTGACCCAAAATGCACCGCGGGCTTCTTCTTCATCCTCTTAAAAGTTGTAGAAGCACATTTGATGTTAGCGCCACCAGCTGCTGCCTATTTAAATGCGTCGCAAACGCTGGCTGGCCACAGCAGCGCGCACCATGGCGGAGCAGCAGCAGCAGGCAGGACCACAGCATTACAGATATAAGTTTCATGTAGCTTCGCACACTGTCCTAAAAAAGAGCGGTTGTATCTCTTTGTCATGTCATGGTGTCATATTTGCCCAAGTAATCATTTTATGAGCAAATATGTGGCGACATCATGGAGCTAAAGCTCACTTATTCCATCATTAAACTGCACAGCTGCAGTAATCAGGCAGATCTCATTGAACAAACGTTCACCACGTGAGTGAATGAAGCCTAAAAGTAATGGAAAAGCTACTTTGTGAATTTCTAAAGCAGTGCAGGAATATAATACAGCAGCATCCATCACTTGCACAATTACTTTTCAAAGAGTCTAAAACGGGCGTAGTACCTACTCTCTGCCTGCGGGGGTCGTCTTTCCCACTGCTCGTCTAGTGTGTCCGAATTGGGCCAACGCGTTTAGTATGTAGGAGTAAGAACTAGCAGTAGTATGTAGCAGTAGTATGTAGTATGCGAGCGGGCAATTCGGACACAGCACAGGACTTGGACTCGAGTGTTGGAGGTTTTTCTTTTAAATCAGACAAACGGACTCTGACCTGGACCTGAGACCCGGGCCATGAGGACTCGATGAAGAGGACTGGACTCAGACTGGGACCCTGTTAGAACCGGGACTTAACTTAAACCGGGACAGAAGGACAAACTCTGAACCCAGAGAAGGGGGACTGGACCCAGACTGGTTATGTTGTGACTCAAACTTAAACTCAGGTAAACCAGGACCAGGGTCCATTGGTAACCATGGTAACAACTCTGGCTCTGGTTCTGGGGACTGGACTCGGGTTCAGGTTCTGAGGGTTTTTTTTGTTCACTGAATCTGAAGAACAGTGTCCGAACTTTTAATGAGCATCATTACTCACTGTAAAACTCAGTAACACAACGCATCAACCAGGTTACTCCAGGTCAAACATCGCAGTAAGTTAAAGTATCGACTTCGCTCCTACAGTGATGTTTAACAGCCAAAGGAGTAACCAATCAGAGCCCAGCACTTCTAGCCAGAGGCGAAGGAGGGCGGGACCTTCCCCCACCATCCTACAAAATAAAATCCTGCCCCCTGAACTCAGACTTGGTGGTAGAGTACAGACTCTGGTTCAGGGGACCGGTCTCGGACTTGGTTTTGGTTCTGTGTTCCTTGTCTTGCTCAGACTCTCATCTTATTTCCCGTCATGCATCATTCAGGTCCCTGCTCCACCCAAAGCCGTGGTGCCTATTAAGCCCTGCCTTCTGGTCCCGACATCCCAGCCCCCCCCTCCCCCTCATCCTGGCTTCACGTGCAACACCGAACCGATTAAACCCAGAACCGTAGAACCTGCAGCCAGACTCAACAGGTAGGACCGATTCCACCATCCAGAGAGTCCAACCCACAGAGATAGACGGTTTTTATAGAGTCAGTATGCCGGTCCAGACCAGTACTGTCTGAGGGTCAGACCCTGTTAAAGGGATATTTGAGGGTTTTAGTCACAGTGGTCACTGTTCCATCATGAAATAGGGGGGCGCTAACTGACATCCACTGTGACTAAAACACTTCGTACTGACGTGTCACTCACACAGACGCTGGGATATGAGTGTTACGGCGGCCGAGAAACGCCACCGCTGCAAATAAAAAAGGAAACAGTGCAGATAAAAAAAGTTGCAACGGAAGTTAACGGCGCAAAAAAAAAGTGGCGATGAAAAAAAGTTACTCACTGCGAAAATAAAAGGATGCAAATTAAAAAAGCCAGAACAGAAGTAAGCTGCCGGGGGCCAATAATGATGATGCACCAGTGTTTTACGATCTAGGCACAGAAGACGGCGGTGAAAATGCGAGCAAAGAAGTAAGTGGAGAGTAGGCCTGGGCAATTTGGCAAAAAAAAAGATCACAATATATTTTGTTGTATTGTCCAATCTTGATTCTTGTCACAATTTTTTATGACTGCCGGTTCTAAAGCATCTGTACAAAAAAACTAAAGAAACTAAAGATTAGTTCAACTTTTTTTTTTAACATACAAAGTAAATAATAAAGAAAATTACATAAGATAAACTTAGAAAAATATAAAAACCATTTTAACTCAACAGTACAACAAAAGTAGATAAATATTAAATTATAAAGTGAACTAGTTTACAGTGTTTAGAGTGTTTTTGCAGATATGACAGACCCAAAATAAACAAATGTCACCCTCAGAGATGATGAAGATGCCTTAAAATGTAAACATTAGATGATATAAACGTAGACGATACAATCGATTGCTTTGGTCTGGTGGCTGCACCGCTAGTTGTGGCTAAACTGCTAATGCTACTAGTACCGTCAGCAGTAACAGGCTGTACAGACTCTTCATCTTCATTTTCATCAGACTCTTCTATTCATTGTGTTGTCAGTTTGTGAGGCATCGACCGCCGACGTACCTTACACACCAGCTTCATTGCTCGACATGACTTTGGAGATACCCAAACCACCGCCACACAACCGACGTTGAATAACATGCAAATTGCCACGATGTTTGATCAAGTAAATATGCTCACAGCTGATCACCGTGATCGAACTGAAATTTATCACAATTATTAATCACGATCATATAATCGCCCAGTACTAGTGGAAAGGTTATTGTTTAATTTCACTGTATGTGCTTTTTAATGTGATTAGACCATGTAGCGCTTGAGTCGATATGAAGTTGAACCTTTCCACTTCCTTTTTTGCTCGTCTTCTCGCCGTCGTCTTCTGTGCCTAGATCATAAAACACCGGTGCATTATCATTATTGGTCCCCAGCAGCTTACTTCCGCTGTGCCTTTTTTATTTACATCCTTTTATTTTTACAGTAGGGAAACTTTTTTTTTTTTTTTTTTTGCCTCGTTACTGTCTGTTGTGACTTTTTTCTTATCTGCACCGTTTCTTTTTTATTTGCAGCGGGCTTCGGTTTCCTTTTTTTTGCATCTTTTTTCATTTGCAGCAGTGGCGGTTCTCAGCCTCCGTAGAAAGTAGCTCACTATAACAGTTTTTATTAAATATGAATAATTTGATCAGAATAACTGAGGTTAGTCCTGGTTCTGGTGCTGACCTGGTTTTTGTGAACAGAGTATTTTCTTCCTTTGCAGACGGCCCCCTCTTCCTCCAATTCGACCCTCAGCTCATCAGAAATTCGACTTGTCTCCACTTTGACCTCGACGCGCTGTGGGAGGAGGAGCTGAGTCAGCAGAGAGGACGTCTTCGGATGAAGATGATGACTCGCCGTCTGATTCTTCTGTCCGCCTCAAACTTTAACCCCTCCCTTCCTCCAAACTTCAGTGCCTTGCTCTGCAGCGCCGCTGCAGCAGCGTAGGGAATCGAACCCTCGCCCTCTGATTGACAGCTGCTGGTGATGATGTCATACTTACATGTTTGGGGATGGGAAACACGGCGCCCTCTGGGGACAGACTGGGATCAGTGCCTTTCAAAGGACCCTGAGACAGGGGCCACACCTTTGATTAGAATAAGACCTAGGTTCCCAAGCTGTGGTTCACAGCCCTGAAGAGGGTCCTCTGGAGAATACTGATATTTTTATACATGTAGAAGAAGAAAGAGGGTTTGTCGTCATGAAAACTGAAACAACTTCCTGATGGACTTGACCAGGACTTAAGGTTCATCAGAGGTGAACATCCTGAAAATCTGTGACATTAGAAGACCCAGGTTCAAGGATTCAAGGACTCAAGGACTCCAGGTGGGCTGACAGCTGCAGGTCAGTCCTGACGGGGTCAATCATTGAGAAAGTCTGAGATTCACAGAATAAAGTTTGAACATTTTAACCCTGCAACTCCTGAGACTCAAAAACACTCTCCAGGGTCAGTGTGGGATTTTCCAGAAAACCTGAGGCCCTCAAGGTTGGACCTGGATCCACAGAGTCCAGGAGGCGGTTCAGTCTAGGACAGAACAGGATTAAGTCATGAGTGCACCAATCAGAGCACCTGCAGCCTCCAGCACTTCCCAGTGAAACCAGTTCATTCCGCTTCAGCTCTGTCTTTCTCTGGCCTTTCAAAATAAAGGAGCAGAAATTCAAATATCTTTAACTGTCTGACCTCTGACCTTGAGGACAGACCCTGAGAAAAAAGGTCCGGGGATCGAACAGTGTCAGTCCCTGTACCCCTCAGATCCATGGAGGTCTCTGGGGTTTAAGGACATAGGTGTAGGATACAGTTATAGTGAGCAGGGCTCTTATTGTGAAAGTCTGATTATTTTAGGACCAAACAGGAAATGATGATTCTGTTTTCAAACTCAGTTACGGAAAAACTTCAATGTGTGATCAGATCAGACACAGAACAAACACCTGCAGAAAAGCCCCCCCCCCCAGATCAACACACATATATATATATATATATATATATATATATATACACTACAGGCCAAAAGTTTGGAAGCAAGGCCATTACAGGCCGAACAGTTGGGAGTAACTTGAAGTTTTTGTTCACAATGCTTTTTTTGTAAATCCAGCATGAGTTTTACGTATTTTGGGATGTATTTACTCCATGATTAGATGTTGCTTTCATGGGAATGCACTATGTTACTCCATTTACCTTTAGATATACATTGATGTTAACAGACCATTGCTAAACTGATGTCAGCAAAAGTAAAAAAGGGCTTTGTTTTAGGGTTGAAACATTTGCACGAGTCACAACTTCAGTGCAAAAGCAAAAAAACAAATCACAGTTGGATTATTCACTTTAACTTTTTGGCTTTTGAGAGCCTGCATACAAAAATACTAATAAATCTCAACTGCATCAAACTACTGCAGAAATGGCTAGAAAGAAGCAACTGAGTACAGAAACAAAAGTACAGATTTGTACATTGAGGAAAGAAGGATACACAGAAAGAGAAATTGCAAAACGCCTAATGGTGTCTAACACAGGACTCCACTACATTCTGAAGAGACTAGAGGAACCTGGAAGTTATGATGATAGAAAAAGACCTGGATGAAAGAGAGTTACTACAAAAGCAGAGGATAAACATATTATTGTCACCAGTAGGAGAGATCGGCGAAAGACAGCACCACAAATAAGGGAGAAAATCAAAATGACAAGGTCGAAATCCATATCTCTGACAACCGTGAAATGATGTTTGAGAAAGGCTGGTCTGAAGGGTCGTGTGTCTGCAAAAAAAACACTACTTAGTCCACAGAACAAGGAAAAGAGATATGAGTGGGCAAAAGCTCACAAAAATTGGACTTATGATGACTAGAAACAAGTTTGCACTGTTGGTTCAAAAGGCAGAGTCTATGTCTGCAGACAAACTGGTGAACGTCTCAAAGCACCATGTGTCTACAGGTACTGGTCATATAATTAGATTATCATGGAAAAGTTGATTTATTTCAGTAATTCCATTCAAAAAGTGAAACTTGTATAATGTATACATTCATTTCTCACAGACTGACATATTTCAAGTGTTTATTTTAATTTTGATGATTATAACTAACAAATAATGAAAATCCCAAATTCAGTATTTCAGAAAATTAGAATATTACTTGAGACTGATACAAAAAAAAAGATTTCTAGAAATGTTGGCCAACTAAAAAGTATGAACAGAAAAGTATGACCATGTACAGCACTCAATACTTAGTTGTGGCTCCTTTTGCCTGAATTACTGCAGCAATGCGGCGTGGCATGGAGTCAATCAGTCTGGCACAGCTCAGGTGTTATGAGAGCCCAGGTTGCTTTGATAGTGGCCTTCAGCTCTTCTGCATTGTTGAGTCTGGCGTCTCGTATCTTCCTCTTCACAATACCCCATAGATTGTCTATAGGGTTAAGGTCTGGCGAGTTTGCTGGCCAATCAAGAACAGGGATACCATGGTCCTTAAACCAGGTACTGGTAGCTTTGGCACTGCGTGCAGGAGTCCTGTTGGAAAATGAAATCTGCATCTCCGTAAAGTTGGTCAGCAGCAGGAAGCATGAAGTGGTTTAAAACTTCCTGGTAGACGGCTGTGTTGACCTTGGACCTAAGGAAACACAGTGGACCAACACCAGCAGATGACATGGCACCCAAAACCATCACTGACTGTGGAAACTTGACACTCGACTTCAAGCAACATGGATTCTGTGCCTCTCCTCTCTTCCTCCAGACTCTGGGCCCTTTATTACCAAAGGACATTTTCATTAGAGAACATAACTTTGGACCACTCAGCAGCAGTCCAGTCCTTTTTGTCTTTAGCCCAGGCGAGAGGCTTCTGACGCTGTCTCTTGTTCAAGAGAGGCTTGACACAAGGAATGTGACAGCTGAAACCCATGTCTTGCATACGTCTGTGCGTGGTGGTTCTTGAAGCACTGACTCCAGCTGCAGTCCACTCTTTGTGAATCTCCCCCACATTTTTGAATGGGTTTTGGTTCACAATCCTCCTCAGGGTGCGGTTATCCCTATTGCTTGTGCACTTTTTCCTGCCACATCTTTTCCTTCCCTTCGCCTTTTTATTAATGTGCTTGGACACAGAGCTCTGAGAACAGCCAGCCTCTTTAGCAATGACCTTTTGTGTCTTGCCCTCCTTGTGCAAGGTGTCAATGGTCGTCTTTTGGACAACTGTCAGGTCAGCAGTCTTCCCCATGATTGTGTGGCCTACAGAACTAGACTGAGACCATTTAAAGGCCTCTGCCGATGTTTGGGGTTAATTAGCTGATTAGAGTGTGGCACCAGGTGTCTTCAATATTGAACCTTTCCACAATACTCTAATTTTCTGAGATACTCATTGGGGGTTTTCATTGGCTGTCATTTAAAATCATCAATATTAAAAGAAATAAACACTTGAAATATGTCAGTCTGTGTGAAATGAATGTATACATTATACAAGTTTCACTATTTGAATGAAATTACTGAAATAACTCAACTTTTCCATGATATTCTAATTATATGACCAGTACCTGTATGTCCGCAGACAAACTGGTGAACGTCTGAAAGCACCATGTGTTACACCCACAATTAAGCAAGGAGGTGGTAGTTCCATGGTATGGGGATGTTTTGCAGGTGATGAAGTAGGAGATTTGTTTGACGTAAAGGGTATCATGAAGAAGGAATAGAACCACTTCTTCCTCCAGCACCATTCTGTTCCATCTGGATCCAGACTTGTGGGTCATAAGTTTATTTTGCAGCAAGACAATGACCCTAAGCAGTCTGCCAAGCTCTGTCAGGGTTACCGAGACAAAAAAGAGGAGGAAGGTGTTCTTCAAAAGATGGTTTGGCCCCTTTTCTCTATTGGAGAAAGGTCTAGAGTGGGATGTGTTGGATGAATTGGATCGATCGGTCAGAACAGCACGTCCTGCGAATCAGCAGTGTCTTTTTAATGAACTTAAGAAAGCTTGGAATGCAATCCGTTGAACATACCTTAAAAAAACTTGTGGAACGAATGCCTGGTATATGCCATGCTGTTGTTAAAGCCAGAGGAGGTTATTTTAAAGAAAGCAAAGTCTGAGCAACAATAACTCAGTTACCTAAAAATTATAGTCAAAATGTCTTCTGATAAGTTACTCTTTACACAAGTCATGTTTATTGTGTTATAAATTATATTAAGGAAAGGAAACTATGATTTTTTTGGTACAAATCTGATCTTGCTTCCAAACTTTTGGCCTGTAGTGTGTGTGCGTGTGTATATATGTGTGTATATATATATGTATATATATTTGTGAATATATGTGTATATGTGTATATATGTATATATATATATATATATATATATATATATATATATATATTTACAAACACATATATATACAGTCGGTATATATATATGTGTGTGTATATACATATATGTATGTATATGTATATATGTATGTATATGTATATGTATATATGTATGTATACATATATATTTATATATATATGTATATATACATATATGTATGTATATATGTATATGTATATATGTACAGGGCTTGACACTAACTTTGTTCACATGTTCTCCTAAGTTAAAAAAGTAAGGAGCACACATAGAACTTGATATTTAAACTGTTTTACCCCCAAAAAACAAACTCATTTTAAAGAGTGGAGCGTCTTCATCTCAAAACAACAGGGGGTGGACTCCTTTTGCCTGCAGGGGCTCCAGCAGGGGGCGCTCATGCTACACAGGACAGAGAAAGGAAAGATCAAAACCACTAGAAGGTTTCAGTCGCTTTAAAAACACTCTGACATCTGAATGTTTTAAGACAGATAAAACTTTTTATCTCTCTTACTTTATTCTGAAAATCTCAGACTGAAACCTCTTGGACCACCATGAACTCCTGACTGGACTACAGAGGTGAACCCTGAACCTCACAGGTGAACTGGGTTTCTGCTGGGGGGTGTGGTTCTGAATCAGAATTTATTTTTCTAAGATTTTCTATCAGAGATGGTCTGAATGTACGCTGAGTCTGTCAGCTGATCGTAGTCACACCAAAGATGATGATGCTGTAAGATGATCCCGTCTGTGCTTTCATGACAGCAAGTATATCATGTTTGTAAGAATTCAACGTCAATAAAGAGTCATAGAAAAAAGAAAGACTCGTTCAGAACCAGCAGAAACCAACAGACAATTGAATTTCCCTTCCGGGATCAATGTACTTATTCTTATTCTTAGACTCAGACTGTTAAAGACACATAGACCTTATTTACTCTGGACAACTTGGTTCCTCTTTCCTCCAGTACACAGATTTGAAGCTGAAAAGTTCTCTGTAATTCCACATTTTTCTCTCCACTTCCTGAAACCAACATTGCACAGTAGCTTTGTACGTATTCAGCGGGAGAGTCACCGCGAGTCGCTGTGATGACGCTCGGCTCAGACAGCGTATCCCCCAGGTGAGCTACTCAATTTCTGTACACCCATAGGCTGTATCAAGTGTCAATCATAGAAAACACGAACCCCCCTTATAACTTTTATAAATGGAGCTGTACAGAAAAAAGAGGACTTTAGCACAAACCAGTCTGACAGTAACTACTTGTCAACATCACATCCAGGGGGGAGAAACATTTATATTCTGTGTCATTGATTTATCAAGTTTGTCCACAGCTCCATAAGGAGGCTGGATTTATGACCTATACTGCAGCCCGTCACCAGAGGGTGCTGTTCTCAAAGTGGCTTCACCCAGAGAGGAGGCAGCCAGAGTCCATTCTAGACACAGTCTATGTTATAGGCGCAGAGTGTTATACATGGTCCAGGTGTGGAACCACCTGATGGAGGTTATAAAATATAATAAAAGACTCAGAGAGACACGGAAAAAAAAACACTCAAACTGACTCAGATCTGTCTTCTTCTCTGAGGATGAGTTTCTGTTCAGACTGACAATGATGTTTAGAGGTTTCTGGCTCCTCCTCCTCCTGAGGATGATCAGAGGTTCGAGGCTCCTCCTCCTCCTCCTGAGGATGTTCAGAGGTTTCCGGCTCCTCTTCCTCCTACTGAGGATGTTCAGAGGTTTGATGCTCCTCCTCCTCCTGACCTCAGCAGGGTGAAGAGGAAGTTGTGGTCGCCGTTAAAACCTCCTGAGCGTTCTTTGTCAGTCTCATTCTGTCAGCGCTGAGAGTCGAGCGTTAGACGCTGAAGAGGAACAGCTCTGTTTTTCCTCCATCCTCCTCCTCCTCCCCTCTCCATCATGGCTCCATCACTCCTCCTTCTCCTCCTCCTCCTCCTGCTGATCTCCTCCAGCTCTTTGCCTGCTCCTCGGAGAACCTTCCTCCTCAGTAAGTCCAGAGAACGTTTTGGTTCATGTGTTTGAGTCTCTGTTGGTCCCAGTGGTGAAGGTTCTCTGTTCCTGGTTGGTTCCTGGGACAGTTAGTCTTCATCCTGAACCCTCCATGACAGTCTGGAGTCCTCTTCAGGTCTCTCTGTGTGTCGCTTTCCGTGTTTCATCGTCCTGTTGGTTGCAGCACGGGGTCACATGTCTGCTGAGGTCACCGAACTCACAAACAGGGAAAATAATGAAACTCTGAGATCTTTGAGAGCAGATGAAGCATGTCCAGAGATTTTAGTCAGTTTCTGAACCTTTTACTCCTCTTCTTCCTCCTGCTCCCTTCCTACTCCACTCTCCTCCGCCTTTTCTTCCTTCTCCACCATCTCCTCCTCTTCCACCTCTCTCCTCCTCTTCCTCACTGTTAGCTCAGCTCTATCAGGGTCTGGTGTGTGTGTGTGTGTGTGTGTGTGTGTGTGTGTGTGTGTGTGTGTGTGTGTGTGTGTGTGTGTGTGTGTGTGTGTGTGTGAGAGAGTCGGATGTTTTATTTTGTGTCTGTGCCCGACTTCCTTTCCAGCACAGGTTAATCTGTGCTGAATTTATCCGGCACGGGTCTTAGGTCCCCCACAGAGTTTGTGTCTGTTAGATGAGGCTGCTGAGGGTCTTTGTCAGGGTCCCCTTTAAATCAGTCCTGAGGTGAACCTGTGCGGCTGCTCTAAGGTTCCTGTCATCTCTGGTTTCAGTCCAACTCTGATTCCAGTGGTTCTCCTGAGTCAATCCAGCAATCCATCAGTCTTTATTTATATAGCACTTTTGATACAAAACTGATGTAGAACAAAGTGTTTTACATAGCGGAGGAATAAAAGAAACAAAGAAAACCCAAATCTACCACAACCCAACCCTGTATCCCCACGATCTAAACAGAAACAGAATTAACGTGCATGAACTTAAAAAGAGCTTTAATGTGTGCACTGAGGAAACGTCATTTTGAAAAATGACCTCAAGTAAACACTTGAGGTTTAAAATCTAAGAACAAACATAAAATGAAATTTAAGAAATAATAAATAAAATGAAATAAAAACAACAGTAAAAGATACTAAAATAAGAGCACCAAAATAAAAGGCAATCCTGTCATTAAAGAGTCAGAGCAGCATTGGTGACAGTGGTCCCACTGGTTAAAGGGAAGTGTCACTCAAACGGAAACGTCCTCAGAGTCAGGTCATGAAGTTTCACAACTGTCCTTGTCTTTTTATCCAAACCTGAAGCAGCAGCTCCTCAGTCCGGGTTTCTCTGTGACCTGGTTTTTCTTTAGTCCTCTATGTTGATGATCCCCTGCTCACTCTATCAGACGCCCTCTCGTTTTCTTTAGTCACTTTCAGTTTCTTCTTCTGCTGATTTGGAGGCTCTGAAATGTCTCTTCATGCATTTTCATCTTAGACCATCTTAGACTCTCCCAGCTCTGACACCTGTAGTCTTGCCCCCCCCTTTTAAATGCACTGATAACCACAGAGGGAAAACCATCAGCACTGACTCGGCTGCAGGTCCACTGTCAGGTCTGAACTGCTGTTCTGTCAGACCTGACAAAGTCACAAATACACACCTGTGCTCCTCGCTCTTAAAGGGACGGTCAAATCAACACCTGTGTTCAAAAATGGACAAAAACACCAAGAATTGTATTTTCCAATAATAAAGGTTCCTCTCTATCATGGTTCACAGATTTAATCCATTAAAAAACTCTGAATGTAAATTTACTGAGAACTACAAACAGGAAGAGTCTCTGTATTCACCACAGACCAACATAAAAACAGGAAACACAGTCAGAGTCTTTCAGAAAAAAAGGTCCAGTTAAAGTCATGGGTGAAAAAAGCTCTCATCTTAAGATCCGGGTCTCGGCCCTCAGCTGGTCCAGGGTCTGCAGATCTGAGAAAGTCTGTTTCTCTGAATCTCTCCAACCTTTATCCACAGCCTCAGAAACAGGAAGTGGTGTTGGTCATGTGACCTGGTTCTTGGTTTTTAGACTCGTCAGTCTCGTCTCCTGATACAGCATCAGTCTTGTTTAAGACCCCTAGACCCCCGTTTTTAAATAACCTGAAGTCAGTTTGGTCTTCCTGTATGTCACTCTGCTGAGAACAAGTGCATGATGGCAATTTTTTCTTAGAAGTGGCGTCTATGTAAACAGAGAAGATGTAAACTCAGAGGCTTTCAGAAAAAAAGGTCCAGTTAAAGTCATGGGTGAAAAAAGCTCTCATCTTTAGACCCGGGTCTTGGCCCTCAGCTGGTCCAGGGTCTGCAGATCTGAGACAGTCTGTTTCTCTGAATCTCTCCAACCTTTATCCACAGCCTCAGAAACAGGAAGTGGTGTTGGTCATGTGACCTGGTTCTTGGTTTTTAGACTCGTCAGTCTCGTCTCCTGATACAGCATCAGTCTTGTTTGAGACCCTCAAGACCCCTAGACCCCCTTTTTAAATAACCTGAGGTCAGTTTGGTCTTCCTGTATGTCACTCTGCTGAAAACAAGTGCATGATGGCAATTTTTTCTTAGAAGTGACGTCTATGTAAACAGAGAAGATGTAAACTCAGAGGCTTTCAGGAAAAAAAGGTCCAGTTAAAGTCATGGGTGAAAAAAGCTCTCATCTTTAGACCCGGGTCTCGGCCCTCAGCTGGTCCAGGGTCTGCAGATCTGAGAAAGTCTGTTTCTCTGAATCTCTCCAACCTTTATCCACAGCCTCAGAAACAGGAAGTGGTCATGTGACCTGGTTCTTGGTTTTTAGACTCGTCAGTCTCGTCTCCTGATACAGCATCAGTCTTGTTTAATTTTTTTTTTATTTTTTAGTAAGTCTGCCAGCAAATAGTCCATATCTAAACATATATTTAAGTTTTTTTTTAAAAATGAGGATTCCAACAGGAAAATGTTTATGTACATGTTAAATAAAACACCTCTATGCAGCTGTCGGTCATGTTGAGGGCTTTGTTGCAGCATTATAACCTTTCTCTATGCCTAAGGGACAGTCTCTTTTTTATTTATTTATATTTAACAACAAAACAGAGTGACAACAACAACAACAAAAATTTAATAAAAAATTAACAAAGAATTTTAACAAATTTTAAAGAGAGATTGCCTCTAGTGGACGAGAGAGGAACTGCAACTTTAGGACCTCAGGGATTTATATGAACCTCCTATCAGTGAACCTCCTTTCAGTAACCCTCCTCTCTGAACCTCCTCCCTGAAACTCCTCCCTGAACCTCCTCTTTTCACTTCCTCTCTTCACCACCTCCTCTTAGTGAACCTCCTCTCTCTGAACCTCCTCTCAGTGAACCTCCTCTCCATCTTGCAGACTCAGCAGACAGACCTTTACTCCACTTCAGCCCCCCCGATGTCCACAACACCTCCACCCTCCTCCTCAGCGAGGACACCTCCACCTTGTATGTAGGAGCGGGAGACGCTCTGCTCTCATTGGACGTCAGTCAGACTGATGTCATCAGGCTGAAGAAGAAGGTGAGTTATGACTCCAACTCCCATGATTAACATGTGAGACGAGATTATTTTTAATGCTTCATTTCTGTCCGTCTCTCTCTTCTTTTTCTTTTCTTTCTTTCTTTCTTTCTTTTTTCTTTCCTCTCTCTCTTTCTTTTCCTTCTTCATTCCTTCTTTCTTTCTTTCTTTCTTTCTTTCCTTCCTTCCTCCCTTTCTATCTTTCTTCCTTCCTTCCTTCCTTACTCCCAGGTGGAGTGGAGGCCATCAGACTCTCAGATAAATGAATGTAAATATAAAGTTAGGAATCCAACGGTAAGTTTAAACACATCTTCACTGATCATCACTTTCTGTTTGAATAAAGTAAAAAAATAAAAGAAATAAAGAAACAGCTGACAGACTATTTTTTAAACTTTAAAACATCAAAGAAGGAGAAAAAGTCCTAAAAACAGTCTGACAATCACTAATTATTTGTTTCTTCTTTTAACTTTATTTTCTTTTTTCATTTCAGAAATTTATGATATTCAGTTTAAAACAAAGAAAAAAGAGAAAGTCTAAAATAATGTGTGTGTGTGTGTGTGTGTGTGTGTGTGTGTACATGCAGGTCGACTGTCCAAACCTGGTCAGTGTTTTGCAGCCAATCAACTCCACCCATCTATACGCCTGTGGTAGCCACGCCTTCAGCCCCCATGACGCCTTTATCGTGAGTCCTTTAATTCTTTTATTGCGAGACACACGACATGACACAGTGTGTGATTTTGTCTTATGTTGTGTGTTTTTGTACTTATCAGCACACAGAGAGCTTCTCATTGGTCGAGCACGGCGATGGTAAAGCGAGACTCCGCTGCCCTCACAGCCCGTTTAGGAGGAGCACCGCCATCACACACGGTCAGTCTCTGTCAGCTGACTTCATTTCGGCTGAGTCTGAGAGTTTCATGTGGGTCGCTCTTTGACCCTGAGAGGACGTCCTTCAGGAAACGCGTGACGGCTGACGGAGGATCTAACGTCCTCGGCCAGCCACCCATCCTCTCAGAGCGTTGACGATGTTTCTCCGTTTGTGGTTGAAGTCGAGAGCTCAGGCTCTGCTGCTGGTGCACAGATTGCAGGACAGGATCCATATATCCGTGTTATTCAGAGGAGCTGTGGCGTGACATGGATGACCCTCTCATCTCTGGTGTACCTCTTACTATGTACAGTTAATAACCATTGTCAGGGGGACTGGCCAATCAGAATCCAGAACGAAACCCAGCTGATTGATCGAAGCAGGAAGTCAGTGAATAGAAACCTCAGAAAACCCTTAAAATGAGCTTTGAGTCAATGAAAAGAAGAAAGAGAGCAGTCACATGACCTTCTCAGGGGTCAGGGGTAAATGTAATCTACGGAGATGTGATTCTGATATCGATCGCTCAGCAGGTATTGATTATCAAAGAGAAGAGAAACTGTGTGTTCACTGTACGTCTTTGAGTCCTCATCCTCTGTGTTTGTTTGTGTGCAGATGGCGAATTATTCACCGCCACGACAACCGACTTCAAAGGAGCCAAACCACAGATTTCACGCCACTTCAGCAAAGATGGCCGCCCAGACGTCTGCCAGGAGTCGTCTGCCAGTTTACTGCAGGGTGAGAGGAAGAAGGTTAATGCTGATGCCAGTGACCCGAAAAACTGTCTGTGGTTTAAAACGTTAAATTTAAATTTAAATTTATTTAAATTTATTTTTAAAACGTCAAAACTTAAACAAAACTTAAACAGAACTTAAACAGTTATGTGTAGATAGTTTATGACTTTAACCAAAAGATGGTAAGACCCACATCTCTATCTGAGCCTGGTAGACAAAGTTCTCCTGGTGGGTCAAACAGACCCAAAGGTTCTGACACTGAGGAGTGTCCTCTGCATACAACCTGAGTCTGTGGTAAAATGACTTTATGGTTCAATCAAACGGGAACGTTACAGAAACTGGAAACATAAAGATCAGAGGTTTAGACTGAGTTCATCCTGGTACTAACATATTTAAGGATCCACCTGTGGAAGAATGACCTTGAAAATGTTTTTTTTTTTTTTTTTTTTTTTTTTTTTTGATGTTCAAAAATGGATTTATTGTGTTAGTCTGACTGAAACTGGACTTTTAAAATGTAGAAACACCAGTCCAACGGAGATCTCCCTAAGTCATGTTTCTTTAAGTCGGACTGAATACGCAGGATTGATTGTTGGCAAGTTCGTGAACCGCCCCAAACTGGCTGAGGTGTTTTTGGTGTGCTTTACAGTTTGCAGGACAGGCTTTTACCTTGAAGTTAATGGCATACATGTGTAGAAAGAAGTTGGATGGTTAACCAAGACACAACAGAAGAAGAAGAACAAAAGAAAAAGCTATCATGCCATGTAAAGTTGTGCATGATTTCCCTTATTACAAACAGTTAGCCTCTTGCTAATTTGTTTGTCGATTATTTTGGTACGTGACATAGTACGTCAACAGGGAGTTAAAGGGATATTCCGGTGTACAATTAATAAATTCCAGTGAGTCCATTGACTGCAGCGGAGGGATGCAGCTCAAGGAAGAACTTTTTTTTTTTTTTTTAACTTTATTTTCATCTTTTAAGGCAAACTTTCAAACATACACGCAAATACTGTACAAAACAAAACAAAACAAGAACAAGAACAAGGGGGGCAAACACTACTCAGTTACATACAGGTGCCATTTAGTCCATCTTACAGCATATAGCTCAGCTTTAATTCGTAGTCTGTAAGTCATTTGTTCCATTGATCGGATTTCCTCTACAATGGTCAGCCAGTCACTCAGTTCAGGTGGATCAGTTCTTAGCCAAGTTCTTGTGATGGCTTTCTTAGCTGCAAGAGATAGGATCTTGAACAGGTATATGTCCTCTTTACCCATTACATCTTCTAATATCAGTCCAAGATAAATAAACCGGGGATCTTTGGGTAAATTATATCCGAAAACTTTACCCATGACTCTCAGGACCTCATCCCAAAATGTCTGTATTTTCGTACATGACCAAAATATATGAGAGTGGTTGGCATTCAGTTGCCCACATTGTCTCCAACAATGCTGTTGTTGACCTAATTGTTTATTTTTGATTTTTGGTGTAATAAATAGACGTGTCAAATTTTTCCAACCGAACTCCCTCCATGTTTTAGAACTTGTTGATGTATGTTGGGTCTTGAGCATGGTCTGCCAATCACTCTCAGATAATTCAATGCCGAGTTCCTTTTCCCATTTCTCTTTTATATACATTGTGTTTCTTCCCTGTTGCTTCAATAAACCTTTGTATAGCTTTGAGACAATTCTTAAGGGGGTTTGCTTGAATGCGCCTGTTAATATTTCGATCACATCATTCCCCTCCACAGAAATTTCCCTCTTAACTTCTGTCTCATAAAAGTGTCTTAATTGGAGATATCTATATAGATCTTCATTTTCTAATCCAAACTCATTTTTCAGCGATGTAAATGATTTGAAATGTTGCTTATCTATAAGTGTACATGTGGCTGTTATTCCTTTGTCTCTCCACTTTTCAAAGGTCTTATCTAACATTCCTGGTCTGAACCTAGAGGTGCAAGAGGGCCAAATCAACAGTTTACAATCTCCTGTTAATTTATATTTTTTCACCACCTCATACCATATTTCTAATGTTCCTCTCACGACCAAGTTTTCTCCCTTAAGGTCTCTGTATTCTTTCCCACTTAACCTTGACTGTGGAGGGGCTTGGCCTTGGCTCATCTCAATGGCCTTCCATCGGGCTTGATAATTCGGAGAGCACCAATACACAACATATCTTAACTGTGCTGCATAATAGTACCCTCTTAAGTCTGGCAGTGCCAATCCTCCATTTTCTTTGTCTAGCTGAAGGGTCTTGAGTCTTATCCTCGGTCTGGCTCCAGCCCAAATGAATCTGGATATTAGCTTATCCCATGCTGAGAATTGTGTGTCTGGTATTCGAACTGGGAGTGACAGAAAAAGATACAACAACCTAGGCAGGAGGTTCATCTTGACCACCTCAATTCTTGAACTGAAGTCCATTATTAGTGTTGACCACTTTGCGACATCTCTTTGAATTTTATTGTTTATTAACTTGTAGTTTGTCTCATAAGTTCTGTCAAGTTCCTGAGTTATTATCACTCCTAGGTATTTAATTGACCTAGCATTCCAATTTAAGTTATATTTCTTCCTGATTTTTTTATTTGGCTTATAGTTAAAAGTTAAAACCTGAGTTTTAGACATATTTAGTTTGTAGCCTGACATTGATCCATATTCTTCTGTTATTTTTACTAGTTTGGTAAATGTTGAATTTGGGTTTTGAAGGTAGGTGATTATATCATCAGCGAATAGCCCTATTTTATGCTCATCTCTTGCTATCATGATTCCTGTCAACTCATCTTCCTGTCTAATTGCTTGGGCGAGTGGCTCTATGAAGATTGCGAAAAGGGCGGGGCTAGCACAACAACCTTGTCGTGTCCCTCTGTACAGCTTGACCTTGAAAATGTTTTTAAAGGTCAAAATAAACTTCACAGATAAACTTCACACGCACATGTACCATCTCATATACTTTCAGCCAAACCACATGTCTGTGAGTTTAGAAAACAACACTTCCCGTTTTGTGTCACCGAAAACCCATTTCCTATTTTTGAAAAGGTTCCTCTGAATAGGAGTCAGACTTTCATATTAACAAAAACCAAACCGTTTCAGTTCATCATTCAGAAATACTCAGAACTTAGTATGTACTCAGGGCTGGATGGTACACACCAGGACCACCTCTGATTTCTATCAGTCAAAAGAGAATGTCAGACATTATAAAAGGTGGCAGTGGTCCTCTATCAGAACTTTGGACCTGTTTGGTTGTTCCTCTATCAGAACTTTGGAACTGTTTGGTTGTTCCTCTATCAGAACTTTGGACCTGTTTGGTTGTTTCTCTATCAGAACTTTTTTACCTGTTTGCTTGTTCCTCTATCAGAACTTTGTGCCTGTTTGGTTGTTCCTCAATCAGAACTTTTTTACCTGTTGGGTCGTTCCTCTGTCAATTGTTTTTCGAGTCAGAAAAATTCAGACTCTCCTCTGATTGGTCGATCTCAGACTGAAACCTGAAACTTCTCTCAGACCTTTCTTCCTCATGTTTGGACCACAGACCACGGCACCCTTCGCTGTTTCATTTGACATCAATTCCTGTTTTTCAGACCCAGAATTCATCAGCTCATCTCTGGACTTGTCTGAGAGGAAACTCTACTTCTTCTTTAGTGAAGTTGGGAAGGAGTTCCGCTTCATAGATGAGCTCCAAATCGCCCGGGTGGCTCAAGTCTGCAAGGTGAGAGAGGACGGTGTCATGTGATCACGGGTAAACTTAAAAACGTCGACAGACAAAGTAACTGTCTCTGTTTGACTTCACAGGACGATGTCGGTGGGCTGAGGACTCTGCAGAAGAAGTGGACATCCTTTGCTAAAGCTTCTCTAATCTGCCAATCTCCTAAACAACTTCCCTTCAATGTCCTCCAGGATGTGTTCACCCTCCCGCCACCAGAGGGCAAAAACGCCTCAGAGACGCTGTTCTACGGCGTCTTCACCTCCCAGTGGTAAGGGGAACAGTTTAATCAAACTCTCAATCATCATCATCCACCAAGGTTTGCATTTAGTAGAGTCTGAGGAACCTTCAGGGTCCTGGTTCTGATGTCAGCTGACTTTAGTGGGACAGATACAGTAGAACCAGGACTAAGTAGGAACAGATTTCTGAGTATCCTGATTCTGAGATACAGTGAAACTAAGACTGGGTGGAGACAGCTGGTAGATACTCTGTCATGGTATCCTCTCAGGTGGAGGTTTCACCTGGACGACTTCTTCTCTGTTGGAGTCTCTGTGTTTAAACTGGGGTGGGAGACAGACCTCCCTCAGTGATTCTGAATGATCTGAAAACGAGTCCACAGTTCTACTGGAGAGAAGAACTTCAAACTTTAAAACTGTATTTTATCTTTAATTCTGGTTTCTTCAGGTCCTCAGGTCCAGAATCTGCTGTGTGTGCCTTTAAACTGCAGGACATCAGGGATGTGTTCAGTGGGAGCTACCTGACCCTCAACACCCAAACCATGACGTGGGCTCCAAGGCAGGAGAGACGGATCCTGGGACAGGTGAGGTAGAGACTTTAATTAAGCATGCAACACCGAGTCCATCATCAAGGTTAAGGTTAGGGTTAGGGTTGAGCAGGAGTGTTGAGGTCTTTTGTTTTACTGAACAAACTACACTGCACACACTGCAGGAAATAGTCTGTTCCGGGTGAAGATGTTACTCAGTACAAGTATAAGTATAATACTCAGAAAAACATTCCAGACTTGGCAGCAGGACATGTCAGTGTGTCCGACAGGTCATTGGTATCCCTCACCCCCAATTGTCAATTTCCACCGGCTTCCTCTGCAGAATCGCTGGATTCCACAGCTGATCACAAGAGTTCTATTTTTTCTGGACGCTGGAGCATGCCGGATAAATTCAGCACAGATTAACCCGTGCTGGAAAGGAAGTCGGGCACAGATACAAAATAAAACATCTGGCTTCTTTTCAAAATAAAACACCCCATGTTTCAGGCAGATCATATTTCATACAATGCAAACGGGCGGAGACAAACAAGTGAAAGGTTTTTAGACGTCATTTCACCCTGATGACACCATGGATGAGGAGATGCTGATTCTAGAAGTCTAGAAGTAGATTTCTTCCTCTAGAAGGACACTATCTACTACTTATATGTCTATGTGGCTGTCATAAGAGAGACAACTCCTTATCATGCGATTGAACGTGAATCCGCGGGTTTTTGTGAGTTCTCGCGATTACTGCTGTCTGTAACTCACCAAGAAATTCGCCTCACAAACGAATCCAGTAGGAATTGGTGGACGGCAAAAATCACCGCCATTCTGGGTCGTAGCCGTTCAGAATGTGGTGGAAATTGGGGTCAGGGTTGGAGTCTGGGTCCAGTTTTGTTGTCAGACGGTTGAATTCCGGGTCGGTTTTATTTGATGAAACCGTCTCACAGGTGGCCCATGAGTGACCCTCTTTAAATGTGGTCCTTACAGTGTGGACTTGAGACCGCTTCAGACCAAGACTTGGGTGATGTAAGGAAGAGTTTTCTGACGGGTGAAGGTGTCAAGCCGGTCAAAAACACTCCACTTGTGGTTTCTCCAGATCAGCGGTACAGCCGTGTGGTCGCAGAGAGGGTGAAGGTGGTTAACGGGAAAGAGTACACAGTCCTTTTCCTTCTGACAGGTGAGACTTCTGGTCATGAGAAGAAGAGTTTGAACCAAAGATCACATCCTTGTAATCCTGTCTAAAACCTGTCTCTGGTCTGTCTCCCTGATGTCCAGAGTCTGGATTCCTGCACAAAGTGGTTTTGTTTGATGGGGGTGAGCAGCTCGTTGAAGAGATCCAGATCTTCACAGAACCTCAGCTGGTGAAAAGTATGGTCCTCTCCTCGGCTAAGGTAAACCTCCCATCCTGTCCAAAGTCCTGGACAGATCAGTTGAGTTAATTCTGTGGATAGTTGGTTAGGAGGTTCAGACCTTTCATGGAGGTTCAGTCTGTTAAACTAACATGGTCACCTCCAGGGTAAACGGACTGACCAACCCCCCCGCATGAATCAAGTAGAGATGATGACCTCACCATTGAGTCAGCCAATAGGAAGGCTCGAACCCTGGAGTGTGACCACAGCATGTTTGGTTCAGATGTGATAAAGAACCTGCTCAGAGTCTTCTGCTCCTGCAGGGGGTCCTGTATGTGGGGACATCAGAGGGGGTGACCGCTGTACCTGTGGCCAGGTGTTCCATCTACTCCACCTGCAGCCAGTGTATCCTGGCCAGAGACCCTCAGTGTGGCTGGAGCCGGAGCAGCAGGGTCTGCAAGAGTCCGACAGACCCTCACCAGGACATGTGGGTTCAAGAGAACTTGGTTTCCTGTCAGATACATCAGTAGATCCTCAGAGGTTTTCAGAGTTGGATTATGGGTAAACTTATGTGTGTTTGTGATGCACAGTCAGCCCTGAGTACAGACTGACAGGCTCTGTGTTTTCCCTGCAGAGCTCAGGATGTGGACCACGCCAATGTGTCAGATGAGTGTCAGGGACAAACCAGAACCATCACCGTCAAAGGTAAACCCTCCTCTAACCCTGAGCATCTTCATCAGTCAGGACCTTTACCCTCAGTCTCTGAACCTGGCCCCCTTTAGTCCTCCTGACTTTGTTAAGACCCGCAGGTGTTCAGGCGTTCAGACCTCCACCTTTAATCAGCTTCTGCTGAAACTGCATGACACTCAGTTCGTTTACATGCACAGTTTAATCGGACTAAGCTCATAATTCGTTTTTTTCTCTGAATCGGACTTCTCTCCGCGTATACATGCAGCTCAGAAAATCGAATTATTGACGTGAATGTGTCCTCCTCCCCCAAACTAGGGGGCGATATCGGTCTTTTCAGCAGTGCTGTTTCCGACCCATACAACCGTTGACAACAACAGCAGGTCCGTGCCAGAGGTCAGAAGTGTCTACAACTGCTGCTGGGCATTTTGGAACAAGAAGATGGAGCATCGTACAGCGTTGTTTTTGTCCTACATGGTGGACACACTACTTTTTATGCAGATGAGACAAACGCTACCCCTAATAATTCGGTTTTCTCCAGTGTCATGGAAAGGTACTGAGTGTTGAACTAAGACCCCCAGAATCCTTCAGAATTCACAAACATAATCTGTTCCCGGTCCACCGCAGGAATTCTGAGACCCCAACTTTAGAAGGACCAGTATTTGGCTCCGCCCCTTCCCCTAACCGCTGTGTCTCTTTCTGTCATTAGAGGTTTTCGTTGAGCTGAATGAAGCCGTGAGACTCTCCTGTCAGAAACCCTCGAATCTGGCCTCTCTGACCTGGACCTCCTTCAAAGACCTGCCCCAGAACCTCTTCATCCAGCCAGCTGACGGCAGCCTGCGGTTCCTGGCCTCTCCTCATACCTTCGGGGCGTACCGCTGTGAGGCGGTGGACGGCGGATACAGAGAGGTGGTGGCGAGCTATGATGTCAGACAGATGGTTTCCCCTCGCTCTTTGAATGTGATCAAGAGTGACTGCCAAGACCAGGACCCTCTCACTGAGGACCCAACAAAGACCATGACACGACCTTCAGGAGACCCAGAGACCCCCACCATGATGGTCCACCATGACTTCAAAACAGACTCCGACCATGAGGACAAGTCAACCGTCCAGACCAGCTTCACAGATCATGGTTCCGGCTTCACAGATCATGGTCCCAGCTCCAGAAATCGTGGTTCCAGCGCCAATACCACACCCGGGAGAGACCCTCAGTCCGACGCTCTGATAGTGAAGAGCTACCACAGCGAGCTGGTGGTGGTTTCCCTCCTGATGACAGTCTTCTTCTGTGCCCTCGTACTTGGAGGGCTCCACATGTGGCGCCAAAGTAAATCCAGAAAAATGAACCCTCTGGTCAGTCCTGATGACGGCAGCAAAACCAACCAATCAATGGAGAGCGTCCCGTCCCTGAGCAGTCCAGAGGACACGAGTCCTGAGCTGAAGGTGGTGCAGTGATCTGCGTCCATCAGGTCCTGATCCAGACTCAGATTTTTCAGTTTGATGTTTTCAGCGCTGCGTTCAGAGGCAGGAAGTGACCCACGGTGGACAGCTGAGCGTTCCAATAGTAATGAACACAGAGGAAAAGCTGGTCAGTCTAGTTGTTTAAGCTCTATGTTTTCAGTTTATTGTGATTTTCCTAGTACCTTTAAAAAGTCGCTTGAGGCAGAGGATAGGTCCTGTACATTTGTGCGACACACTGCTGCTGTTCCAAAGACACACCCACAGTTCATTGAAGTTTTTGGAGCTTTATTATCAGAAAAAATACACGCTTCGACAGTGGCCAGTGATTTACATGCACATCAGATAGAATATGTGTACACTTTGCGACGTGTATCATTGTAAACCAAGAACATTAAGCATGGTTAACAAAAATTACAGCTACCTAGGCTCACCTCTCCACCCTAGTGCAGGTGAGACCGCCCCTTATATAACCTACTGGCTTTCAAACACAGCGCCCACGTGACCCAAACCCAGCGAAACCAATGGCAACCAGACAAAAGTAACTGAACACAGGATAACCGACTTTACGGCTCCTACAAAGTCACTGGTACGATTCCTGACCTCGACCATGTGACCCCCTCATGTTCGTCTGTTCGTCTAAAACAGAATAAACCTCACAAAGATCACCTCAGAGTTATTCTCTTTGGAGTTACTCAGCCGTGTACACCTGTCAGGGACCCAGGATCCTGAGCTGTGATTGGCTGTTAACCAGGTCAAAGGCGGGACTTGTGAAAAACCAACAGTTCTGCTGATGCTAGCTTTCTTATCGTTTATTCTGCTGGAGCTTCAAACTTCGACTTTGGACACACACACACGCGCGTGTCAGTTTTGATGCTTTTTCAGCAGATTCATCATCGATCACTCCTTCACTGGGTTTTTAGAGACACAGCAGAGAAGAAGGACTTAGACGTGCCGGTCCAAGCCCAGTCCATTTAAGTGACATTAGCTGTGTAACAAGTAACACCCTGGTATACAGGACCAGCTGACTCTTCAATGGAATAAAACAGATACCCTGATTGGTCCAGTTCATGTTACGCTTATAACGTCTCTTTTATCAGCCGGACACTGATTCCCGTTTGTCTGATTCTGCTGAGGGTCTGTGAGTTCTTAGAACCCGCTTTTTCAGGTTTTCTCTGATTGGACCAGTATTCACTAAATGACCGTCATGAAGAGGACAGCAAACGAGAGGGAATAAATCACTTTTAGTTGCCCCCTGCTGGGCGTCAGAGAGGACGCAGTCATTTGAATGTTGGGCCGATATCTCAGTTCTCAGCGATGGAGGCAGGTTCTGGTTCGTTCCTGGTACCATGAGGTTTCCATTCTCGCTGTTTTCTGTCAACATTTTTCTGAAAGTTTCAGGTTTTTGTTTTATAATCAGGGATGACATGACTGATGACTTATGTATGTTTTTTCAACATTCTGAATGTTGTGACATGGTTACTGATGACTGAATGAATGTATGTTTGCAGGATAGAAACCTGTTGTGAATGTAATGAAAGCTTGCTCTTCTCTGTTCAAGTCGTTGTCTTTTTAAAAGCATGAATAAAGGCGGACAGTTTGACTTTTATAATAGTTTAGTATAATTGAACAGTTCATGGTTGTTTCTTTCTGTTGAATCGTATTGTGTCTCAAGTTTAAAGATGTTGAATATTTTATGTCACAGTTCTTTTGTCTGATATTGTCAAAGTTTCCAGGCCATGAATCCAGACTTTGTTTTGTTTAAAACAACAGTGTCTCCCTGATGTTGACCTCTTCTAAATAAAACATATTATTCTTCCCTTACAGAGTCTTTTTCTGTGTAATATCTCTGTTTCATCACAGTTTTACACTGCTGCTCAGATCACTCTGGAACCAAACAGCCATGTCTTTAGAAAACAAAACAGACGCTGAAATGTTATAAACTGCAGTTCTTCAAGTGTCCACTAGAGGCTGTGTCCAAAAGCAGCATCAGAGGCCACAAACACACCTATTAAAAACAGCAGAAATAAACCTGTCTGCAGTTGGGCTTGTCGTTGAAGTTACGTTTTTCGCACATGTGCAGTACAAATTGTGTTTCCGGGACGGGTCGGGTAGCCACAATCTCTGTACCTCTAAAAAGCTGAAATGAGTTGGTCTTTCAGTATGCGGACTGGTGTCAGTGGACTTGTTTTTGTTTTAGTTGTTCTCAACACAGAAATGTGCCAATCCCTGAGAACACACTGCCACCTGCTGGAGAAAATACTCAACATACTGCTTTGATACAGCAGAGCAAACCAAGCTTCACAATAACAGCGGGCTGAAATAAAACCATGCCAATGTCCAGCTCACCCGTCTCAGGTGTGTTTGTACCATAGACTGTATATACTATGGACAACTTGGTTCCGCCTACCGCCTTTATACGGATTTGAAGCCAAATAGCTCTCGGTATTTCTGGGATTTTTCTTCATTTTCTGAAACCAGCGCCGTGCAATAGCGATGCGCGCATTTGAGTGTACAGTCGCCTGAGTTGCTCTGATGACGCTCGGCTCAAACACCGTATCCCCCGGGAGAGCTACGCAATCCCTGAACACCAATAGGCTGTATCAGGTGTCAATCATAGAAAACATGAACCCCCTAATAACTTTTAAAAACAAAGCTTCACAAAAAAAAGAGGACCTGAGCACAAACTAGTCTTACTGCAACTACATGTCAACAACGCAAGTAGGGGGGAGAAAAAATTTTGTTCTGTGTAGCCTAATACATTTCTAAAGTTTGTCCACAGCCCCATAAGCTTTGCTGGCGGAGGCATGATTTATGACCTATACTGCAACCCATCAACAGAGAGTGCTGTTTTCGGAGTGGCTTCTCCCAACAATGAGGCAGACTCTGTCCATTCTTTATACATTCTATGGTTTGTACCGGATGTGTTAAAGAAGAGAGAGTCTGGTCTCCAACATCTATGATTTCAGATTTACTCAGAAAAACAAAAACGATCATTTTTCAATCTCTGGACCTCTGAGTGTTTTTTCACTCTCAAACATCGAAGCTGTTTGTTTGGTTTACTTCGGTAAATGTCGGGAAAGGAGGAGGGTCCGAATCGGACGGATTCTCGGAAATGTTGCTGCAAAAAGATGCCTTCAGGATCTATCGAAAAAAAAACATCTAAGAAAATAGACACCACATTGCGTGATTTGTGATTAAAAATAAAGAATGATCAGAGACATAAAATCTTCACACCACAGTCTGACAGGTTTCTTCGGACGCACTGTTTGTGAGATTTCATCTTGAAATTGACCATTACATAAATACGCTTGTTAGTGTAGTTTTCTACTGTAAATTGAGTTACATCGTTCAACATGCCAGTCGTAAATAAATTCTAAATGAAGAAAACACATTACTGAGTGGGGTTATTTCTGTTTATTTGAAGAGCAGTGGCCATAGGATCTTTTTTCCTCTCTTTTTTTTACTTTTGAGTTCTCCGTTTGGGTTGTATTTCAGATTTACGAGTTTATATGAAGCACCTGAACATATCATCATTCCAGTCTAAACGGAAAACTTCCTGAAACTGAAACAGACAAACTGCTGCTTACCTTCAGGTCAGTATATATTATTATAATCCTTTAATTTTCAGATCAGTATTTATTATTATAATCTCTGTAGAAAACTCACAATAGTTTTTTTTCTACTTGTAACCTTTTAACAGTTTTTAGATCCACCGAATATCACGAAGTCAGTTAACACTGCTGCGTCACACTCACTTCCTCATGTGCTGTTAATGTTAGCAGCTTTAGCAGCAGAACATGTTACAGGGCTCTCAAATTTTGAACTAAGCTTAGAGTGAGATTTCCTTGGGGGGGGGGGGGTTGAAGAAAATTATTAGTATAATTATCTCTTAAATACAACGGAATATAAGGGGCACAATTAGAAAAAAAAATAATATCAGTATTAAGTCGTAAAGTTACCTGTTGTGAAGGAGAGTTGTTAAAATCAGCACTGTGGAGCATTTAGATGAATTGTACTTTAGTATAGGTTTCACAAACATGGAGATACTTAATCCTTTGGTACATGAGCATTACACTGTCATGAGTATCAGAACTTATATTTGAGATATATGAGAAATGCTGCTTTTGTGGAGGGGAAAATGGCTGGAAATGGCTGCACAGAGACTAAATCCGTCAATACAGCTGTTAATAGCAATAGCATAGGGCTTCAGTTTATCATATGAGTTTATATGCCATGAGGTGTTGAGGTCTCTGCATGTGTAGGTTACTGACTTACTGTAATCATCGGGTCTATCTCGTCCTTATAAAAACATGCTCTATTACGGCGAGTGTCTGTCTTCTTCTGTAGTCAAACCGTAAGATATCAAAATCTACCCAGATACAGCAATGCTGCTTTTTTATTGGCTGTTCAGTAGATATACTTTATTTGATTGGCTTGCGCGTGGCACGCAGCTTCTGAACTCTCGGAGGAACTCAGTTGATTCCTACCTGTTCCATAGTTCAAGAGGTGCAACTTGGTGGGCATCACCATGTTCATTTAAATGCGTGAGAAATACAATGTGTGGCGTGTGAGCGTGTGAACGGGTGGGAATGCGTGTGTCACACGCTGAATGCGTGAGACTTGAGAGCCCTGATGTTACCTCCGTGTAAGACGCTGTTTTATTAACATTGTATCAGACATTTAAAATGTTTTTTTCCCCATGAAATTATGGTTATCAAGAAAGAGAATTAACGTTTCAGTGTAACGAACTGTCACCCTTTCAGAATAATTCCTGGTACCGCGGTAAAGTGTGGCGCACCAGACACCGTTTAAGATTTATTAAATTTAAGATTATTTTGATTCTGAAGAGTTTAGATGGTTGGTGGAACAGGTTTGGGGAATTCTCGTGATTTCATATGGTGTTCTAGTCAATTCGGCTGGTGTGATACAATATAATATATATAAAAATAACAGTATTTGTTTGTTGCTAAAGGGGACATGTTGAGGCCAGTACCTGCACACTTCACTACCTTCTCAGTTTAAGACATTAGAGAAATAACTGAAGTTTCAAGATGGTATTAATAACAGTGTTAGTAGTAATAGTTTACCACCACCAGGGTGTGACTGTGTGAGCGAAAGTCAATGATGTATTCAATAGAAAGGGCTTTGAGGGCCTCTGATAAAGGTCTATAACATCTAAAACATTAATTATTTTTTAATCCAGTAAATAAACCTGAATAAACTGGACCTGCCTGAACACACTGTGGTGAATATTGTGCAGTTTTTTGACTGTAAAAATGACTGTATTATTCATTTACATATATGCTTACAAGGATTTATCTTCATTTATCTTGAATATTCATTATGTATGTTTTAGCCATTGTATGTTTTAGCCAGGAGTTCTCTTTGTTTTATTGATTATCTGTACACACACGATCATGATGTATCTGTCAAGATGACTGATGTTTAAACAGGATAGTCAGGTGTCTGCGTCAGACCACGATGACCTTGAGAGGAGAAGAACTTTTCTTCGTTTTCTGATTTTTAATGACAAGTAAAATCACAAACTCTTCGTCACTTTCTAATGTCGTTTTTCCCACAGTTCCCTCAGTGACCTCTGACCTCTAATATGACATCCACATCTGTGACCACGGTGGGGGGGCTGGTGGTCGTCACCCAGGTCATCCCTCAGAGTGAAAAGGCCATCCCACTCCAGGCTGCTGACACCATCCAGGCCCCTCCCCCAGCAGCCCCAGCCCCACCCTCTCAACCTGCTGCTCCTACCAAAATAGACGATATGACCGCCACCTTCCTGCGGGCGGGGCCTCAGAGCCTTGGGGTAAGAAACCAAATCTATTTGAGGGACTGGATTTTATGATCGTGAAAGTCCAGACCCTAAAGGTTCCGTAAAAACTGGTTCCGGTCTTCATCCAGACCGCCACATCCAAACCTCAGAGGTCAGTCTGGATCTGAGCGTGCTCAGGTATCAGGTCTTTGTACAGACCGCCACACCTGACTCAGAAGTCAGTCTGGGTCTGAGCGTGCTCAGGTATCGGGTCTTCATCCAGCTGACTCGATTTCTTCTTCTGCGTGTTTTCAGATCGTCCAGATCTTCATCGGCCTCCTCTGTCTCCTCTTCAGTCTGACGGCTCTCTTCTCACCCGTCCTGTTAGGCCACGCCCCCCTCTGCCTGGCTGTCACCGTGCGTAGAGTCCCCCCCCCCCCCCTTAGTTTTTCTCTCAGAGGGTCCTCACCAGTGTCTCTTCTGTCCTGCAGTTTGTGGTCTCCGGCTCTGTGACCGTGTCTGCAGCTAAACGGACTTCAAGGAACCATGTGAGTGTTCTTCAGAACCAGACTCAAGGGGTGCAGAGGTTCAGAGTCCATCTGTCTCACAGAGCCCAGAGTCCAGGTCCCAGTAGTGAGGGTCTGGTCTCTGGTTTGTACCTGCATGTCCTGACCTTCGTCCATGAACCTCACACACTTCTGTAAACAAAGGTTCTGGTCGGGGTCCTGAAGACAGATCATCCAGGAGTCCTGTCCAATCAGAGACAGACAGCGCCACCTGCTGTTTCTGGACCTGTAAAGTAGTATGGGCGATAAAAGAACAATGATTTATATCCAAATTAATTTCCCTCAGTGTCAGTATTAAACACGGTCAATATGGTTTTTCGGTAGTCGTGATGAGGCCTGTCACGATAACAAATTTTCCTGGACGATAATTGTGCTACAAATTGTTGCCGATAAATGATATTATTGACATCGTTTTTTAAATTATAGATAATGATAATAAATGGCATAATAAGGCGAGTACACCATGTCAAAAGCAATAAACTTTAATTGTTCAAGATTAAGAACTTTGAACTAGGATGAACAAATATAATAAACAAACAAGACAACCAAAAAACAATGAAAATAAAATGGACCCACATTCTGTTTTATCAAAAACTGCATTCAAATAAAGACCACAATCACAACTACAAACAATAAAAAAATAGACCTTGTCTCTGGTACGGAACAAAAACTTCACTCCACACATAACTATTAAAACAATAAATAAAGTGGAGTCTCGAATCTGTAAACAAAAACGCACTAAATAATTAGCTTTGGGTGCTATTCCTTAACAGGTCAAAGAACATGCATGCGCACCGATGATTGTGCTTGAGGTGCGCATGCATGTCGTATTCCCCTTCTTTGTCACCAAAACTTTCGAACAAATGCAACATATCGTCCGTGTTCGTGGGCTCACCTCTTTCATTTTATTTGAAACCGAAATGTATCCACACTGGGGCTGTTGCGTTGGGCTTAGACACCTAAGCTGTTGTTTCATCATTCATAGCGTTTGCTCCGCACTGTGTGCGTGTGTGCGCCAGCTCCCCCCACCCCCCCCACCGTGACAAAGAGACTGAATGACTGACAGGAGGGTTCACTCACTGCGTTCATTCCGCTATAGAGCCAATGCACCCAGGTGTCGAGAAAAATGCGCAGAGTGAGACCTCTTCTCTGTTTGGTAGCGAGAGAGGAGGAAAACAAACGCACGTTAATTATCGAGGCTGGCAAAATTACCGACCTTGTTTTTATTTACAGAGCGATTAGGTGATTATCGCGACAGGCCTAGTCGTGATTAAAAACGAGAAAAGTTTGCTCTCCAGGGTTTCTCTGGTTTAGAGCCGTAAGGTGTTTGGTGTGTGTGTGTGTGTGTGTGTGTGTGTGTGTGTGTGTGTGTGTGTGTGTGTGTGTGTGTGTGTGTGTGTGTGTGTGTGTGTGTGTCCTTGTTAAAAGACACAGATACAGATGTCCAGTTTAGTGGATTTATTGGACTGTGGTTCTGCTGATGAAACAACAATCAGTCCAGCTCACACCGAGAGCATGAACGAGTAACATGAGATAGCATTAGTCATATTCACAATAAACAATAAACATTAACACAATATAACATCAAACAGTGAAACATCATCAAACTCACTTCTGACATTTGTACACAAGAAACCCACATGTGAAGGTGAAGATTGGGTAAAATCAGGGAAGAGGAAATTTATTAACTATCTGCTGCATGAGGAGAAAAACTAAACTTTCACACCTGCAGCATCTCACACACTGGTGCGGTGTGTTTATGAGCGTAGGACTAATGAAAACTCACTGTAAAACACAAAATAACTGAACGGTATTTACTTAAAAACACTGAAACAACACAGACTTTCTAACAGACATTCTGACATGTTTTGGTGGACTATATAAATAGCCAATGAAAAGGGAAGTTACTGCGGTCCGCTTCACGCTGAACCAATCGTGCTGAATTAGAACCAAGTAGTTAAGACCTCACAGATGCAGTAGATTATTGTATTGTAAAAGACATGTTAACAATAAACACTTGGTCAGATGTTCTTTTATAGAGACAGGTTTTTTATTTACCTTGCTGACATGTTTCGACGTGCTGGCAGCAGTCTTCCTCAGAGTGTCACATGATGGTTGTGTGACGCGTCTTAAAACAGCTGATGTTTCTGAAGGCGCGACCTTTCCGTCAGTTTGACAGATCGGTCACGCCTTCATCTGCCCGCTCACCCCCTGCAATATGGCACTCCAGGTGTGGGATAGCATATATGCCCCCTCATCCTGGTTGATGGTCCTCAGGCCTCGCTTGCTGATTGCCATTGCCTCCCTGGTCCAGCGCTGATGTTTTTTTTCTTCGGTGTGGATGACTCTGGCATTTTCCCAATCCCTGATGTGGTTCTCTGGTTTACAGTGGTCTGTGATAGCTGATTTGTAATTTTCTTGTTGTGCCTTTTCTTTTATTGTTCTTGTTTGTCTTGTTGCTGTCTCCTTCTAACACTCTTTCTTGTGTCTGTATAAAAGAACATTGGATCATAATTAAGCAAAAAAGACACAATGAATCTAATCCAAGAACTGTTAAATTTCATTTTTTATATCCTGATATATATAGATATTGACTGATATGAACAAAATATATCATGATAAACTTTTTCTCACCCAGCCCTACTGTAAAGGTTTGAAGGCGTCTCTGTGTGTGTTTCCTATCTGCAGGTGTGTGTGTGTCTGACGTGGAACATCATCAGCCTTCTGGTCGGCGTGGCGGGCGTGGTCTATCTCTCCTTCCTGTTGGCTGATCGCCCCCCCTCTGTCCGTCTCTGTGACTTCTGCCCCAGGATGTGGGTGCTGGATGTAGGTTCAGGTCCTGATCTGACTCTAGGTCCTCAGGTCGGGTCCACAGAGTGTAAACAGACAGTGACGGGGTCTTAGGTCTGACTCTGTGTGTGTGTGTGTGTGTGTGTGTGTGTGTGTGTGTGTGTGTGTGTGTGTGTGTGTGTGTGTGTGTGTCTGTTTCAGGTGTCCGTGTACGGCTCCCTGTCTCTCCTCCTGATCCTCCTGGTCCTCCACATCTGTGTCTCCATCACCGCCTGTGTTTTCTCTGTTAGGGCTTTCAGACGCTGCAGACCTGGATCTCCTGTCACAGTAAGACTAGGGATGGGAATTGATAAGATTTTATTGATATTGAAGCCATTATCGGTTCTGCTTATTGATTCAGTTCTTTAACGAAACCTTTATCCAAGCCTTTCTTCGATTAAAAAAAAATAGACTATAGGTTTTCACCGTCAACTCAAAATTTGGAGTCTCTGATAACAGAGACAGATGTGTGCCACCTTCAGAGAGAGTCTGAAATAATGAAACAAAAATGATATTTGTACAGAATTTGACATCCATTGTGTTTATGTAAAGACAGGACATATGTTAGGGTGACATATTCTGAATTGCCAACAAGAGGACACTACTACGTGGGGCAGACTTGCATGCGAATTTTTATTTTTTTATTTTTTTGTTGGGTCGAGAGTTTTTTATGCTCTTCTAACTCAGTTAAACGCATATTATTTGGAATTTCCAAAGACAGTGCATGCTGCGTTTCGTCAGTGGTTCTGCTTAGAAATGAGCGGAGGGGCGGAGCTGCAGAGAGTGCTGATGCTCTGCACTGATTTATAATCGATGAATACATGTTATTGACATATGAAGGATTTTATAAACTCCCCCGGACAGTCCCCCAAAAGAGGACATGTCCGGGTAAAAAAAGGGCTTATGGTCACACCTTTCATGCCGTGCTGAGACAGAGCAGCAGCGGCTGGCGACTGGTGATCAACAGGTGTTGTGCCGTAGAATGCACCCCTGATGGGAGAGCAGTTGCAAGTACATAACAAGGCGAAATAATCCAAGTTTTCCTTAACATTGGGTGGATTCAAAAGCGTGTGCCTTAAATGATTTCATTAAGATAAGCCCAAAACAATAGCCCTCTGATTCAGAATATTTACTGTCCCGAAAATATAATGTTCTTTACCTTGACAGCTTACTGTAGAGTTTATATACCCAAGTACACCTCTATATGTGCATTTTTGAGACCCATAAAAACAAAATGAAAGTTTGCTGCTCCATTTGACATGTCTAATACTTGTGTTTTTTAAAATATGAGATAATTTTTCTTCCACTTTAAGAAGCGCAGAGCATCGAATACATGTGACTCCTTATATTTGATGCTGTGCCCTGTTGACAAATGTTAAAGCATGTTGCTGGTGTTTCCACCTTTGCATGTTATCACTGCTCGACAAGAGTTGCACTGTTGTCATCTTTCTTAGTAAAATTAAGCCACACTTTAGATTGTTCCTAACGACTTTACGTATCGTCCGCCATGTTTTTTCCTCTGTCTCTGTTCCCATTCGCGTAGACTGGCACTCGCAAGACCGTTTTTAACGCACCCAGAAGAAAGGAATCGTTAAGATAATATGTAAATGATGTCGATGGATTGAACCATTTGGAACCGGTTCTCAACAAGAATCAGTTCTCGATTCCCATCCCTAAGTAGGACTCTCCAACAGAACCATTGACCCGGTTTCCTCTCCTTCTCTCTCCTCCCTCCTTTTCTCTCCTCCTCTCTCCTCCTCACCTCGTTCCTTCTCTCTCCTCCTCACCTTTCTCCTCCTCTCCTCCTCTCTCTTCCTTCTCTCTCCTCCTCTCTCCTCCTTCTCTCCTCCTCTCCTTCTTTCTCCTCCCCCGCTCCTCCTCTCCTCCTCCTCTTCTCCTCCTCTCCTCCTCTCTCCTCCTGCCCCCCCCCCCCCCCCCCTCCTGTTTTAGGGGAGGGGCCACGCTCAGGTTCTGGTGGAGGAGCATCTGACATTCCCTCCTTCAGTCTGATGTCCTTTTTTTATGACCTTGTGATTTTAATCCCAATCTAATCTAATCTAATCTAATCTAATTGATAGGTTATTGATCGTTCGGCTTCATGAGTTCCATAGGAGTAGACTGTCCAGATGCATTGTGGGAGATGTAGGATTATTTTGGGTTAGAGATGGGTTCTCTTGACATGAAACAAACGGACAAACCTGAGCCTCAGGTTACTGATGAGTTTTTTGTTTGACCTTTCACCTCCAGGTCATGGTGGAGGATGGCCGTGCGCCGCTTTGCGCCGCTGTTTTGTTGTCAGACAGTGACGTGGCGCTGTTGGACGACGGTGAGGAACCCTGTCCATCACATCCAAACTCACCCTGAAGAGAGGATGATGGGAATACGACGAGTACAAGTTAATACCACTATGAACTACTGCAGGACTACTACAGCAGTATAACAGCAGTACTACAGCAGTACTGCAGGAGTACTACAGCAGTACTACAGCAGAACTACAGGAGTACTACAGCAATACTGCACTCTGCCTGTCCCTTTCATCTCTTTCTGTTTCTTTGCTTTTGGAGGCTGTGTTGACACGATGGTACAGTGCATTGTGGGTAAGATTGGGCTCTGAACAGGGAGCTTTATTGATAGTTTCTGTTCAGGAAATTTTTTTTTGCACTTCAAACTGACGCTAAAATGTTTTGAGTTTAACCCCCAGAAGACACTAAAGGGAAACAAACAGTGATGGTGTGAAACCAGATCAGATCTGAATGTTGTTGAATGTTAGCTTCCATTCTGAAAAAGTAAAATTGACTGTTTTTCAAAGGGAGTTTGGTGACAAAGTGCCAGTATCAGGACCACCTGAGCAGCTCCTGGTCTGTTTTCGGCTCGCTCCAGCGTGTTGTTGCTCCCCATGAATGTATTTATACTTCAATGAGTCCACTGAGAAATTCTTGAAAATGATTTGTGTGTTTTGAAATTTCTGCCAATGTTATCACTTAAGTGTTGACTGTGGTTCTTCTCTTACTTTCACTGTTTGAAACGCAGACAGTTTATTTAGGACATGAGTTTGGGGTTTACCATACAGGTCTGCAGGTCTCCAGCAGTGGGTGCTCATAATGCACAGATCAGCCCCAGAGGAAAACCAACATCTGAGTCATATAAACAGTATTATACCAACATAAATTTGACCCAAAGGTTTGACTGAAGATATTTCTGCAGATGGACTGAACCACAACTTAATTAACTCGGTCAAATGTTCACTCGACGACAAATGAAAGAGAAACATGTTTGCCAATAAATAATGTAAATATTCCCATAAAGTGGAGATGAGCTGTGGATGTTTGCACTGAAAGGTCTTTTGTTCTTTTTTCAATCTGAAAACTTTAAACTCCCTAAAAACAAAAATTTCTTCAGTATTTGTCCTTTTTGAAAACTAGAGCATGAAATAGAAGAGATTCAGTTTCTGAGGTTTAGACAATACAGGACCATGAAAGGTTTTTCTCTGCTTCAGTGAATCGACACAACAGTTATCTCAAATTATGAGTAAACCTAAGGGTTAAAAATGTCTGTGTTTCTGAGGTCACCAGATAATTGGGTAAGAGTTGTTCTGTAACTTTTTTCTAAGTAAAACTTTTTGAACTGATGAGATTATTATCTCTTTAAAAAAACTGAAGGATTAAAAATGTCCTTGTGTTAATAAGATTATTATCTTGTGAATTTAGAACCACTGAGAAGATTTTTTTCTGTGGTAAACTAAATAAACTAAAGTAAAATCGTGATCTATATAATAATAATAACATTGATAATAGTAAGAACAATCATGATAACAATAATAATAATAGTAACAACAGTAATGATAATAATAATAATAAAAACAAAAATAATAATACAAATAATAATAATGATAACAATAAAAATAATAATTATTAAACAATAAAAACAATAATAATAATAATGATAAGAGAAGTGTTGACATGTTTATATTTACATCTTCACAAGTTTAAAGGCTTTTCTCTACAGCTGCTCGTGAGAAAGTGTTTCTGAGGTTTAATCACCTTTACCTGGAGCTCCTCGCCTCTGATTGGTCAGAGCTGTGACATATGACGAGGGTTGTTGTTGTGGTTATGGCAAGATGGTTGAACAGTAAGAAAATTATCCGTTTCTCACCTGCTTACATCGAACCTTCGCGTTACAACAATAATAATAATAAGAAGAAGAAAATTAACGAAAGACATTGACAGTTAGGGTTTTATTTTGAAGTCCTAAACCGGAAGTATACTCCGGTTCAGATGGCGGCTGGGTGACAGTTAGCCGGTGAGCCGGTCTGTCTTCTGTCTCAGTCGGTCTCGGCTCTGGTGTCTGTCCGTCTGTTGATGAAGCGTTTAACTCACATTTAAAACAAGAACACGAGGAGTAAATGTGAAGAAGTTCAGGTTTAAAACTCTCCGTTGAAAAAGGTTTGACTCTGTCCGTGTAACAGTGTAACATTAGCTTCATTAGCAGTGTTTGTGTTTAGTTCAGTCTGTTCAACAAACCTGTGTGTGTGTGTGTGTGTGTGTGTGTGTGTGTGTGTGTGTGTGTGTGTGTGTGTGTGTGTGTGTGTGTGTGTTTCAGTGACTTTGTTGTTTGAGTTAAAGGTGACTGTAATATTTAACAGTAGTGGGCAGTTCTTGTAGATGTATGGAATCACTAGAGTCAGTTCACTAAAAAGGTTCGTTCCCTGAATCATTCAGTGCTTGGCGGGAGGGGCCTGAACTGATTCACAGCTGATCAGTTTGACAAACAGGTTTGTAAAAATGAAGTGGTTTATGAATCTTGATGTTTTAAGTGTCCTGTCTTATTTAACTGGTCTACTCCTTAAATCCGGCTCAGTAAATGATTTGTTCACTGAATGTAAACCCAACAGTAGATTTAGTAAACGATTCACTCTGAACATGTGCTGTTCTCTCACGAGTTTCACATTTCTCATGTTTTCTCTAACTGCTGGTTTTCTGCTGTTCTTGAGTCGTTGCGGTGGTAGTTTAGTGGAGTTAACTTAAAAAATCGTTTTCTCAGAGGTACACTTGAACACAACACACCCCTCTCTCTCTTTATCGTTAGTACCTGCTAACCACCCGACGCCTTTGAAGCGCCACCTTTTTTGCCCATACATGGTCACTTCTGATATCTTTTCCTCCTCCTCCTCAGGTGACTCGTCAGCACCATGGACAAAGTGAGGAGGATCCTGGTTCATGTTTGTAAAGACCGAGCGGCCCCTCAGAGGGCCCAGTTTGTTCAGGTCAGTCAGGTGGCTCCTCTGACCTGTTAAAGGACGAGTTCACAGTTTTAAACCTTCCTGTTCGGGTCGGGCATCGATGGGAACCGGGACCAACCCATTCTGCCCGAACCATTCAAAAATGGATTACAAGTTTTAATGCCGGAGTCTGCCGACCGGGAGAAATAGCCGCTAAATATGTGTGTGTGTGTTTGTGTGCGTGCGCATTGCAACACACAGCGGTGTAAAGTTTGGCTAAACTTGAGCAGGAAGAAATTAACTGTCATCTCAGTGAAACATTTGCGTTACAGTAATTTTGTTTAGAGGACGAACAACCAACATGATGAAACAACTCCAGATTCATGGAGTAGAAATAACCAAGGGCCCCGTCCAGGGCTCCACAGTGCGACCGTTTCACTCACATATGCGACTAAAAATAGATGTGTGTGAATTGTAAAATTTATTTAGGGTCACGTGTGCTCATAAATACATCAACAAATGTTTTTTTTTCCTGTAAATACAGCAGTGAAGTCAGTTTTAGGTTGGATATTTGATGGACATTCACTGAGGATCTACCGGTGTCTTCTCACTCTCCATAACCGGGAATAACAACGGCAGCGCAGTTAAATCTACTCTGCACCCTCACTGTCAATGTCAGGTGTTGAATAAGGGACCATCAACAAATTACCGGTTGATGTTCTCTTCAATAGCTTCTATGTCATGTGACCAAAATCTAAAATTGATTTCAAATAATAGTACTAAGGTTGGACAATAAGACAAACATTATTTGATCAATTTTCATTGTTCCCCTAAAGTTCTTTGTGTGTTCCTTTCTTTTTCAACTGAGGAGAACATGTGAAAACGTTAGAGTCAAGCCCTGTCCCCGTCTGTGATGAGCTGCGCTGGTCTTCTTCTAACCAGTCAGAACCAGATCAGTAAAACAATGAATGATGTCTGTCTTCTTTAAACACTGAAGCGGTAAACAAATCGTACTGTATATGGTTTATCACATTATTATTAGATTAGCCCCATGTCCTTTTTCATAGACAAACGACCTGACAACAGATTAAGAATTATATTAATAACAACAACTTTATTTTTACATCACTTTTAAAAACAGAAGTTTACAAAGTGCTTTGACAAACAGTTGCAAAGCACACAACATCAGCACATGGAAATAAAAACAAATAAAAAACAAAAGCTTAGTTAAAAACCTCTGAATTGAAGAACAATTTCATTTGTCATAAGAAACCTAGACAATACAAGAACCCTACAACATAAAATGAGACCATGAGGACCAAAATAAAAACATAAAATAGGTAAGAAAAAGAAATGTAATAAAAAAGGGGGTAGAAAGCAGGAAACAGGATAGTAAATATAAAAAGACGATATTAATAATGATAATACAATAATAATGATGGTAATAGTAATGCTAAAATGGCATAAAAAATGAGCAGGAAAAAACAATAAAATCAATAAAAGGCCTAAAAGGTTAAATAAGAAAAGATTATAAGTAAAACAAAGGCTAAAAGGACAGCAAGTCAAAATAAGATAAAAGACGGCATCACATAAAAGTCTGAAAAAGTGAGTTTTTAAATTTGACTTAAAAGAAGCGACTGTCTCTGCTGTACGCCTGATCTCCTCTGGCAGGTCATTCCAAAGTCGAGGAGCTCTGATGGAGTAAGATCTATCAACTTCAGTTTTGAGCCTCGACTTTGGAATGACCAGGAGGCCTTCGCCAGAGGATCTGAGGCTGCAAGTTAGCTCACATGGTATTAAAAGCTCTGAAATGTAGCTCGGAGCAAGTCCTTTGAGAGCTGTAAAAGAAATCAATAAAATCTTAAAATCAATTCTAAAACTGACAGGAAGCCAGTGAAGATTGATCTTTATTTACTGGTTAAAAATATTGATATTGATTGACGCCGATCGCTGACCCATGCCACGGTCAAAGAAAATGTGCTCTTCCCCAATCAGCAACACCTGTCACTGGTTTCCTCTCCACATATAACTGTCAGCTCCTCTTACAACAGAAGTTACCAAAATAAACGAGAGAACAACAAAAACAAATATTTAATCTGACTCCTACAACAATCATAAAAACTCACCGGGGCCGACACGAATATATAACGTGAAACTACGAAATATTCGGAGGCGAATTTTGACGTGTCTGACTATACACATCAAGCCCAATGCGATTTTGCAACTTTCCAGGGGGGAAAAGACACATCCCGGGGGGGAAAAGACGCATCCTGGGGAAGACTTTTCCTGGGGAAAGTCCCGCCCCCTTCGCCTCTGGTTGGCTGGAAAAGCTGGAAATGTCATCACACGCTCAAGCCAAACGGTCAGCTCTTATAGCCAATCAGAGGCGAAGGAGGGCGGGACCTTTTTGAGATGGCTTTCTGTCATGATAGCATGTACTGATTAGGGGCCAGTACTAGATAAGCACATAAAACTATGGTAACAACTGTTAGCTTACGTTAGCACAGATGAAAGTTAAAACAAAGACGTTTAGCAAACTGTTAAAGCACACAAAACTTCGTCATATGAGATATCTGACGTTATGACTCTCCACAAGTTGTCCTTCAGGTCGTTATCTTTGTAACGTTTGTGTCTTTTATCAAAAAGCACTCTGTTCTCCAACACGTAAACAATCAGTCGGTCGGCCATGTTGGATATACCGGTGCATCTGACGTTGCAACAACACGCAATCTGATTGGTCAGAAGTGGACACACAGTATGCGAAACTTTAGGAAAATTGACCGTGATCCGAAAAAATAAATGCAGCAATATCACAGGACGGGAAAATGTTGCTGATGTGAACGCTTGTATTGACAGGATACAGGTTCGAAAAAAAATTTTGACGTCCGAAATAATCGTTCGAAAAGAACGCTCCCGGTGTGAAAGGACCTTGATAAGTATAATTTGAGACATTCCTTCCAAACACAACTCTGGTCAGCGCTCTCATTTAAACCTTTTTACCATCCTGCCTTTTAAAAATATCGTGCAGAACTGGAATCAGAAACAGAATCAGAACCAGAATCATTCAAATTCACCCAACTTCCTGTCCAGGTGTTGAAGCTGGAGTCAGCTGGTCTCCTGAGACTCCTCCTCCTTTGTTTCAGAGTCTAACGGGACACTTTGGTGACTTTGGGGAGGATCAAGTGGAGGTAAACTTCTCACTGGAGAACAACCAGTTCATCCTGTCCAGAGGAGAAAGGGGGCAGGGCGTTTCTCTGAAGGTCCGGACCGTAAAACCGAACAAAGTCCAGAATCTTCAGAACTCTAAGGTTCTCTTTTTACAACCGTCCTGTCATTCCTCTCTCCCAGAGACCTGCCTTCTGCCCCATTAAACACCTATCAGTCACTGATGCAGCTGCTCTCCCATTGGACATCCAGCAGCGTGGTGTAGATGTGGGCGTGGCCATCCTCTTGCAGACGACCAATCAGAGAGTGTTACTTACACGGCGAGCCAGGGAGCTGCGGGTATTTCCCAACGTCTGGGTTCCTCCAGGTCAGAGACTCTGATGTCTGTTAGGTAGAGCAGCAGGGCATTGCGGGAAATGTAGGACAGAGTGTGTGTGGATCCGTTTTCATGGTTTGACCCTCTTTGTTCTCTCTGGTCTGGGTTTCAGGAGGTCACGTTGAGCCTGATGAGACGGTGAGTTTCTACATCCTGAATGATCTGACCTCTGAGCTCAGGGTCTTCTGACATGGTGTCCTTTGGGGGGGGGGGGTGCAGCTGCTGGATGCAGGTCTAAGGGAGCTGAAGGAAGAAACCGGACTGAAACTGGATCCAGAAGAGGTTTCTCCAAAAGTCCTTGGACTCTGGGAGGTGAGATAGGGGTTTCTGTCAGGTCTTCATCAGGTCTCCATTGGGTCTCTGTCAGGTCTTCATCAGGTGTCTTTCAGGTCTCCATCAGGTCTCCATTAGATCTCCATCAGGTCTAATGGCAGACAACTCGCTTATGCACTGAACACCATTCAATGGAAACACCCGCAAATCGCAATTGTACTTTGTCGAAATTTGATAAACATCGCTTTTATTTTGCGAAAAAATGTAAAATGGAATGTAATGTAATGGAAACGCAGCTCTTCAACAGGTGTCTGCCAGGTCTTCATCAGGTTTCTGTCAGGTCTCCATCAGGTCTTTGTCAGATCTCCATCAGTTCTCAGTCAGGTCTTCATCAGGTCCATGTCAGGTTTCGATCAGGCCTTATAAGGTCTCTGTCAGGTCTTCATCAGGTCTCTTTCAGGTCTTCATCAGGTCTCTGTCAGGTCTTCATCAGGTCTTTATCAGGTCTCTGTCAGGTCTTCATCAGGTCACTGTCAGGACTTCATCAGGTCCTTGTCATGTCTTCATCTTGTCTTAATCAGGTCTATGTCAGGTCTCTGTCAGGTCTTCATCAGGTTTCTGTCAGGTCTCCATCAGGTCTTCGTCAGATCTCCATCAGTTCTCACTCAGGTCTTCATCAGGTGTCAGTCCGGTCTTCATCAGGTCTATGTCAGGTCTTCATCTTGTCTTAATCATGTCTATGTCAGGTATTCATCAGGTTTCATTCAGGTCTCCATCAGGTCTTTGTCAGATCTCCATCAGTTCTCACTCAGGTCTTCATCAGGTCTTCATCAGGTGTCAGTCCGGTCTTCATCAGGTCTATGTCAGGTTTTCATTAGGTCTTCATAAGGTCTCTGTCAGGTCTTCATCAGGTCTCTTTCAGGTTTTTATCAGGCCTCTGTCAGGTCTTTATCAGTTCTTTGTCAGGTTTCCATCAGGTCTTTATCAGTTCTTCATCAGGTCTCTGTAGGTCTCCATTAGATCTACATCATGACTTCATCAGGTTTATTAGATCTCCTTTAGGTCTCAGTCAGGTCTTCATCAGGTCTCGGTCAGGTCTCTGTCAGGTCTCCTTCAGGTCTTCATCAGATCTCTGTCAGGTTTTCATCAGGTCTTGATCAGGCTTTCATCAGGTCTCTATCAGGTCTTCATCAGTTTTCAGTCAGGTCTTTGTCAGTTTTCAATCAGGTCTCTATCGGGTCTCTGTCAGGTCTTCATCAGGTCTCTGTCAGGTCTTCATTAGGTCTCTTTCAGGTCTCCATTAGATCTCCATCAGGTCTCAGTCAAGTCTTAATCAGGTCTTTATAAGGTCTCTGTCAGGTCTTCATTAGGTCTCATTCTGGTCTTCATCAGGCCTCTGTCAGGTCTTTATCAGTTCTTTGTCAGGTCTCCATCAGGTCTTTGTCAGTTCTTCATCAGGTCTCTGTCAGGTCTTCATCAGGTCTCTGACAGGTCTTCATCAGGTCTTCATAAGGTGTCACTCAGGTCTTCATCAGGTCTCTGTCAGGTTTTCATCAGGTCTACATCAGGTCTCTGTCAGGTCTTCATCAGGCCTCACTCAGGTATTTAAAAGGTCTTCATCAGGTCTCTCTCAGGTGTTCTTCAGGTCTTCATCAGGTCTCTGTCAGGTCCTCACCAGGTCTTTGTCAGGACTTCATCAGGTCTTCATCAGGTCTCTGTCAAGTCTTCATCAGGTCTTTGTCAGGACTTCATCAGGTTTTCATCAGTTCTCTGTCAGGTCTTCATCAGGTAACTGTCAGGTCTTTATCAGGTCTTCACCAAGTCTTCATAAGGTCTCTGTTAGGTCTTCATCAGGTTTTTAACAGGTCATCATCAGGTATTTATCAGGTCTCCATCTGGTCTCTTTCAGGCCTTCATCAGGTCACTGTCAGGTCTTCATCAGGTCTCTGTCAGGTCTCCATCATGACTCCATCAGGTCTTTATCAGGTCTTCATCAGATCTTCATCTTGTCTCTGTCAGGTCTTCATCAGGTCATTATCAGTTCACTGTCAGGTCTTCATCAGGTCATTATCATTTCACTGTCAGGTCTTCATCAGGTCATTATCAGGTCTCTGTCAGGTCTTCATCAGGTCTTTTTCAGGACTTCATCAGGTTTATCAGGTCTCTGTTAGGTCTTCATTAGGTCACTGTCAGGTCTTTATCAGGTCTCCATTAAGTCTCCGTTAGATCTCCATCAGGTCTCAATCAAGTCTTAATCAGGTCTTTCATCAGATCTCAGATAGGTCTCAGTCAGGTGTCCTCAAGGTCTCTATCTGGCCTTCATAAAGTATCACTCAGGTCTCTGACAGGTCTTCATCACGTCTCTATCAGGTCTTCATCAGGTCTTACTCAGATCTTGCACAGGTCTTCATCAGGTCTCTGTCAGGTCTTTATCAGTTCTTACACAAATCTTCATCAGATCTCTGTCAGATCTACATCAAGTCTCTTTCAGGTCTCTATCAGGTCTCTGTCAGGTCCTCATCAGGTCTCTGTTTGGTCTTCATCAGGTCTTCATCAGGTCTTTTTCAGGTCTCTGTCCGGTCTTCATTAGGTCTTCATCAGGACTTGATCAGTTCTTTATTCTGTCTCTGTCTGGTCTTCATCAGGTCCCTGTCAGGTCTTCATCAGGTCACTGTCAGGTCTACATCAGGTCTTTGTCAGGTCTTCATCAGGTCTCACTCAGGTCTTTAACAGGTCTTCATCAGGTCTCTTTCAGGCATCTGTCATATCTTCATCAGGTCTCTGTCAGGTGTTCTTCAGGTCTCCATCAGGTCTCTTTCAGGCCCTCATCAGGTCTTTGTCAGGACTTCATCAGGTCCTCATCAGGTCTCTGTCAGGTCCTCATCAGGTCTTCATCAGGTCTTTGTCAGGACTTCATCAGGTCTTCATCAGGTCTCTGTCAGTTCTTTATCAGGTAACTGTCAGGTCTACTATAGGTCTCTATCAGGCCTCAATCAGATCTCCATCAAGTCTCTGTCAGGTCTTCATCAGGTCTCACTCAGGTCTTAATCAGGTCTTCATCAGGTCTCTGTTAGGTCCTCATCAGGTCTTTGTCAGGTCTTCATCAGGTCACTGTCAGGTCTTCATCAGGTCTTCATCAGGTCTTGTTCAAATCTTCATCAGATCTCTGTCAGATCTACATCAAGTCTCTTTCAGGTCCTCATCAGGTCTCTGTCAGGTCTTCATCAGGTCTTCTTCAGGACTTGATCAGTTATTCATTCTCTCTCTGTCAGGTCTTAATCAGGTCTCTGTCAGGTCTTCATCAGGTCTTTGTCAGGACTTCATCAGGTCCTCATCACGTCTCTGTCAGATCCTCATCAGGTCTTCATCAGGTATTTGTCAGGACTTCAACAGGTCTTCATCAGGTCTCTGTCAGGTCTTTATCAGGTAACTGTCAGGTCTACTATAGGTCTCTATCAGGCCTCGATCAGATCTCCATCAAGTCTCTGACAGGTCTTCATTCTGTCTCTGTCATGTCTTCATCAGGTCTCACTCGGGTCTTAAACAGGTCTTCATCAGGTCTCTGTTAGGTGCTCATCAGGTCTTTGTCAGGTCTTCATCAGGTCTCTGTCAGGTCTTTTCCTCAGGTCTTTATCAGGTCTTGTTCAAATCTTCATCAGATCTCTGTCAGATCTACATCAAGTCTCTTTCAGGTCTCTTTCAGGTCCTCATCAGGTCTCTGTTAGGTGTTCATCAGGTCTTCTTCAGGTCTCTTTCAGGTCTCTGTCAGGTCTTCTTCAGGACTTGATCAGTTCTTCATTCTCTCTCTGTCAGATCTTAATCACGTCTCTGTCAGGTCTTCATCAGGTCTCTGTTAGGACTTTATCAGGTCTTTATCAGGTCTCTGTCAGGTCTACATCAGGTCTCTGTCAGGTCTTCATCAGGTCTTAAACAGGTCTTCATCAGGTCTCTGTTAGGTGCTCATCAGGTGTTTGTCAGGTCTTCATCAGGTCTCTGTCAGGTCTTCATCAGGTCTTTATCAGGTCTTGTTCAAATCTTCATCAGATCTCTTTCAGATCTACATCAAGTCTCTTTCAGGTCTTTTTCAGGTCCTCATCAGGTCTCTGTTAGGTCTTCATCAGGTCTTCTTCAGGTCTCTTTCAGGTCTCTGTCAGGTCTTCATCAGGTCTTCTTCAGGACTTGATCACTTCTTCATTCTCTCTCTGTCAGGTCACTGTCAGGTCTCTGTCAGGTCTTCATCAGGTCTCTGTTAGGACTTTATCAGGTCTTTGTCAGGTCTACATCAGGTCTCTGTCAGGTCTTCATCAGGTCTCACTCAGGTCTTAAACAGGTCTTCATCAGGTCTCTGTCAGGTGTTCTTCAGGTCTTCATCAGGTCTCTGTCAGGTGTTCTTCAGGTCTACATCAGGTCTCTTTCAGGTCCTCATCAGGTCTTTGTCAGGACTTCATCAGGTCTTCATCAGGTCTCTGTCAGGTCCTCATCAGGTCTTCACCAGGTCTTTGTCAGGACTTCATCAGGTTTTCATCAGTCCCCTATCAGGTCTTCATCAGGTCCTCATCAGGTCTTCATCAGGTCTTTGTCAGGACTTAATCAGGTTTTCATCAGTTCTCTGTCAGGTCTTCATCAGGTAACTGTCAGGTCTTTATCAGGTCTCCACCAAATCTTCATAAGGTCTCTGTTAGGTCTTCATCAGGTTTTTATCAGGTCATCATCAGGTATTTATCAGGTCTTCATCAGGTGTCTCTCAGTTCTTCATCGAGTCATCATCAGTTCTCAGTCAGGTCTCCATCTGGTCTATTTCAGGCCTTCATCAGGTCACTGTCAGGTCTTCATCAGGTCTCTGTCAGGTCTCCATCATGACTCCATCAGGTCTTTATCAGGTCTTCATCAGATCTCCATCAGTTCTCCGTTAGGTTTTCATCAGTTGTCAGTCAGGTCTTCATCAGGTCTTCATCTTATCTCTGTCAGGTCTTCATCAGGTCATTATCAGTTCACTGTCAGGTCTTCATCAGGTCATTATCAGTTCACTGTCAGGTCTTCATCAGGTCATTATCAGGTCTTAAACAGGTCTTCATCAGGTCTCTGTCAGGTGTTCTTCAGGTCTTCATCAGGTCTCTGTCAGGTGTTCTTCAGGTCTACATCAGGTCTCTTTCCGGTCCTCATCAGGTCTTTGTCAGGACTTCATCAGGTCTTCATCAGGTCTCTGTCAGGTCCTCATCAGGTCTTCACCAGGTCTTTGTCAGGACTTCATCAGGTTTTCATCAGTCCCCTATCAGGTCTTCATCAGGTCCTCATCAGGTCTTCATCAGGTCTTTGTCAGGACTTCATCAGGTTTTCATCAGTTCTCTGTCAGGTCTTCATCAGGTAACTGTCAGGTCTTTATCAGGTCTCCACCAAGTCTTCATAAGGTCTCTGTTAGGTCTTCATCAGGTTTTTATCAGGTCTTCATCAGGTATTTATCAGGTCTTCATCAGGTGTCTCTCAGTTCTTCATCGAGTCATCATCAGTTCTCAGTCAGGTCTATTTCAGGCCTTCATCAGGTCACTGTCAGGTCTTCATCAGGTCTCTGTCAGGTCTCCATCATGACTCCATCAGGTCTTTATCAGGTCTTCATCAGATCTCCATCAATTCTCCGTTAGGTTTTCATCAGTTGTCAGTCAGGTCTTCATCAGGTCTTCATCTTGTCTCTGTCAGGTCTTCATCAGGTCATTATCAGTTCACTGTCAGGTCTTCATCACGTCATTATCATTTCACTGTCAGGTCTTCATCAGGTCATTATCAGGTCTCTGTCAGGTCTTCACCAGGTCTTCATCAGGAATTTGTCAGTTCTCCATCAGGTCTTCATCAGATTTCCTTCAGTTCTTAGTCATGTCTTCATTCGGTCTTCATTATGTGTCAGTCAGGTCTTCATCAGGTCTCTGTCAGTTCTCAGTTAGGTCTTCATCACGTCTTTATTGGGTCTCCGTCAGGTCTTTATCCAATCATTATCATGTCTCTGTCATGTCTTCATCAGGTCTTCATCAGGTTTCTTTCCCGTCTCCATCATGTTTTCATCAGGTCTTCATCAGATCTCCATCAGTTCTCCGTTAGGTCTGTCACACTCTGCTGTGTATCTCAGGCTGACTCTCACTCACCTCCCTGCCACACCTCCTCATCAGCACTGATTCCCCACACCTGTGAATGACAAGCTGCAGCTCCTCACTGCTGATTAGCCAGCCAGCATTTAAGTCACTCTGTGTCCCTCATTCAGTGCCAGATTATCTTCGCAACATGCACGACTCTCCAGCATTATTTCTCGGATTGACTTCTCGGTTTCGACTCCTGCTTGTCTCTGACCACGTCTTATCATCTCAGCCCTTTGATCCCCTGTCAAGTTTCTTCGCTCCGGTGAGAACTTCAGGTTTCGCTGTGTTGCTGGCTTCCCGACCTACTGCCTGTCCAGGACTATCCTTCCGTCTGATCCCTCTGGAATTAGTCTGCCCTGCTGATTGTCTGCCTGGATTCGACATTGCCTCCGCTTCTACCACGAGCCCAGCCTGCCCCTCAACAGTGCCGCTGCACTTCACAAAGACTCTCAGGTGTAGTGTGTTTTCCGTGTGCACTCACCTTTCTGCAATATAAGTATCTTCTAAACAACTACCTGCCGTTGTGCTGCACTTGGGTCCTACATCCACACCCCTTTGACAAGGTTTTTAATCAGGTGTCAGTCAAGTCTTCATCAGGTCTCTGTCAGGTCTTCATTATGTCTCTATCAGGACTTCATCAGGTCTGTTTCAGGCCTTCATCAGGTCACTGTCAGGTCTTCATCAGGTCTCTGTCAGGTCTCCATCATGACTCCACCAGGTCTTTATCAGGTCTTCATCAGATCTCCATCAGTTCTCTGTTAGGTCTTCATCAGTTGTCAGTCAGATCTTCATCAGGTCCCTGTCAGGTCTTCATGTCTATATCAGGACTTCATCCGGTCTCTTTCAGGCCTTCATCAGGTCTCTGTCAGGTCTTCATCAGGTCTTCATCAGTTCTCTGTCAGGTCTTCATTAGATCTCTTTCAGGACTTCATCAGGTCTCTGTCAGGTCTTCATCAGATCTCCATCAGTTCTCCGTTAGGTCTTCATCAGTTGTCAGTCAGGTCTTCATCAGGTCTCTGTCAGTTATCTTGAAGACTTAAAAACAGGCAACTGGACTGTGTAGAGTTAAGAAGACGTTTTGCCTCTTATCCAAGAAGCTTCTTCAGTTCTAAAAGTGCTAGTGTCAGGAGCAGATATTTATCTTACTGGACCCAGATGAAACCATGGTTTCCTATGATGTCACATCACTTTTCACAAGTATTCCAACAACAGAGGCAGTCCAAGCAGTAAGACAACGCCTCTCACAGGACAGCACACTGGAAGTCAGAACCAACTTAACCCCGGACCACATCTGCTCCTTATTGGACATCTGCCTCAGCACCACCTATTTCCAGTTCAGAGAGCGCCATTACAGACAGAAACACGGATGCGCGATGGGCTCCCCGGTTTCTCCAATAGTGGCAAACCTGTACATGGAAGAGGTAGAGAGGAAGGCCCTAACCTCTTTCAAGGGAGCTGCTCCTAGCCACTGGTTCAGATATGTGGATGACACCTGGGTTAAGATCAAAACACATGAAGTAGAGGCCTTCACTGACCATATCAACACAGTGGACAGCAACATCAAGTTCACCCGTGAAGATGTCAAGGACAAAGTGTTGGCCTTTTTGGACTGTGCTGTACACTTGGAGGCAGATGGGTGTCTCAACGTTGAAGTGTACAGGAAACCAACACACACGGATCAATATCTACTTTTTGATTCCCACCATCCTCTGCAGCACAAACTGGGTGTCATCAGAACACTCAACCACCGGGCCGAGAACATTCCCACGAAGAAAGAAGGTAAGGAAAAGGAACAAAAGCACATCAAAAATGCCCTGACAACCTGTGGATACCCTAAGTGGGCCTTTGTGAAGAACAGAAAGAGAAATAACACTGAACAGGAAAGGGAGGAGAGACGCAAGAGCACTGTAATCCCTTACGTTGCAGGCCTGTCTGAGAAACTCAAGAGGATCTTTGGCAAACACCACATTCCAGTTCATTTCAAGCCTGGTAACACACTAAGGCAGAGGCTAGTCCATCCCAAGGACAAAACACCGAGACATAAACAGAGTAATGTGGTATATGCTGTCCAGTGCAGCGAGGAATGCTCAGACCTGTACATTGGGGAAACTAAACAACCGCTTCACAAGCGCATGGCTCAACAGGAGCCAGGAGAGCCACTTCCTCAGGTCAGGACTCAGCTGTCCACCTTCACTTGAAGGATACAGGTCACTCTTTTGAGGACAGCGATGTACAGGTGTTGGCTCGAGAAGACAGATGGTTTGAAAGAGGAGTTAAAGAAGCCATCTTTACCAGGCTGAAGAAACCTTCTCTGAACAGAGGGGGTGGACTCAGGCACAATCTCTCTGGCACTTACAATGCAGTTCTCAGCTCTCTCCCCAGAAAGCTCCACAAACATTCACACCTGAAACCACATGACTCAGGTGGCATGAGTCATGTGGTCACATGATAGGAGTCGCTAACGACCCTTTCAGGATAACGACTTGGGGGGGACACACCGAGAGATGGGTTTCTACGACCCATTCTTTTCAACTCCAGCCAGTCGTTAACTGTCCCCCTTCTCCAGTAAGATAAATATCTGCTCCTGACACTAGCACTTTTAGAACTGAAGAAGCTTCTTGGATAAGAGGCGAAACGTCTTCTTAACTCTACACAGTCCAGTTGCCTGTTTTTAAGTCTTCAAGATAACCATGACCTGGATGAATGAGAATCTACATGGACGTCTCTGTCAGTTCTTCAATAGGTCTTCATCAGGTCGCTGTCAGGTCTTAATCAGGTCTTCATATGGTATCTGTCAAGTCTTCATCGGGTCTCTTTCAGGTCTTCATCAGGTCTTCATCAATTCACAGTCAGGTCTCCATCGGGTCTCTTTTAGTTCTTCATCAGGTCTCCATCAGGTCTTCATCAGGTTTCTTTCAGGTCTCCATCATGTTTCCATTAGATCTCCATCAGGTCTCTGCAGGTCTTCATGAGGTCTTAGTCAGGTCTCTATAAGGCCTCAATCAGATCTCCATCAGGTCTCCAACAGGTTTTCATTCAGTTTCTGTCAGGTCTTCATCAGGGCTCTGTCTGGTCTTCATCAGGTCTCTGTCAGCTCTTCATCAGGTCTTTGTCATGTCTTCATCAGCACTCTCTCATTACTTGATCAGGTATTCATTAGGTCACTGTCAGGTCTCTTTCAGATCTACATCAGGTCTCTGACAGGTCTTCCTCAGGTCTTTGTCAGGTCTTCCTGAGGTCTCTGTCTGGTCTTCATCAGGTGTCAGTCAGGTCTTCATCAGGTTTCTGTCAGGTCTTTGTGAGGTCTCTGTCTTGTCTTCATCAGGTCTTTGTGAGGTCTCTGTCAGGTCTTCATCAGATCTCCATCAATTCTCAGTCAGGTCTATATCAGGTCTTCAGTCATGTCTTCATCAGGTCTTCATCAGGTCTATGTCAGGTTTTCATCAGGATTTTTTTTCAGGTTTTCATCAGGTCTCTGTCAGGTTTTCTTCAGGTCTCTGTCAGTTCTTCATTAGGTCTTCATCAGGTCTCTGTCCGGTCTTCATTAGGTCTTCATCAGGTCTTCATTAGGTCTCTGTCGGGTTTTCATCAGGTCTCTGTCAGTTCTTCATTAGGTCTTCATCAGGTCTCTGTCCGGTCTTCATTAGGTCTTCATCAGGTCTCACCTGCTCACATCTAGAAACATGTGTTTAGACTCTGGTCTGAGACTGTGGACCCCCCCTCTTTTGGTGTTTTATGTCAGGATCCACTGTTCTGTTTTCTCTGGGTTAGATCCTGATTCTTAGTTCTGAAGGAACCTGATCAGTGAGACTCAGAACCAAAAATCCATTTTCAGTTAAAATCTTTATTTTAGTGTCACAGATGAGAGGAGACTGAACACAGAGCAGAGTTTCTTAGTTTAGTATTCTCTGATAAAAAGACTTCAAACTGTATTATATATAATGTTGGGCTATATAAAACAATAATTATATATATCAAAAATTAATTTTCCTCAATATCAATATGAAACATGATAAATACACTTTTCAATATGTTGTCAATGTCACTCTGCCATGTTTTGGTAGACTATATGAATAGCCAATGAAAATGGGAGTTGCTCCAGGTCTGCTTAGTACTGAACCAAATTATGTCGAGTACATGTTTTCACAAAGTCGGGAATACCTCAAATCTTATTCACCAACTGAAGCAGCGTCACGTCGCAGAGCACGCGCAATGCAAAAGGTTACAAACCTCAAGAGGAGCAAGGAGCGTCAAAGAGACCTCACAGATGCAGTAACTTGTTGTATTGGAAAAGACATGCGACCAATAAACACTGTTAAATTTCATTTTTTATATCCTGATATATATCTATATCAACTGATATGAAAAAAATATATCGTGATAAACTTTTTTCCATATTGCCTAGCCATAATTCATAGTGTGTGTGTGCATACAGTTGAGGCCAAGTTTTTTTCCAAAATTTTCGAAGTGCTGTTCAACAGATTAATGATTTTTTTATACAGCTTTTCCAAACATCCTAGTTTTATTTTAGATCCTTACATTATTTTACTTTGCACACAGAAACAAAATTATTTCACAAAAAACAAAAACTACCAGGGTCAAAATTATTAGCCCCCTTAAGAATTGATGTTTTTATTGAGCCGAAACAAAAACCACTGTTGTGCAATCATGTGCTTTCACTTTCGAGTGCTCACAGCTTGTAATCAATCAATCAATTAAGTGAAAACAAAGGGTTGTCCTACACTTTACACACTGTATAAAAACCTTGTTAAGCGTTTGAGCTGTCACTTGAGAAGGCATCATGGCAAATACAAAATAATTCAGTTAAGACTTGAGAAAAAGAATTGTTGATGCTCACAAAGCAGGAGAAGGATATAAAAATGTATCATGGCGTTTCCAAGTATCAAGAAGTGGAGTGAGAAGTATCATCAAGAAATTCAAGGAGAATCACACAGCACAGAACAAGTCTGGGAGAGGTAGGAAGCGAAAGATTTCAAAGAAACTGGAAAGAAAACTGATGGGAGATGTGTCGAAACAACCTAGAACAACCACCAAAACAGAAGTTGGTGACTTAGCCAAGTCAGGAATTATGATGTCAAACAAGACAGTCTCTAGAGCCCTGAACAGAAATGGACTGCGAGGATGCAGGTCAAGAAAAACTCCACTTCTACAAAAGAGACACCTTCAAGCCAGACTGAGGTATGCTAAAGACAATCTGGAGAAAGATTGTTCAAACCGGAGATGTGTTCTTTGGACAGATGAGACCAAACTAGAGCCCTTTAGTCACAGAAACATTGCTTATGTTTGGAGAAAGAAGGGAGAGGCGTATAACCCCAAGAACACTGTCCCCACAGTTAAACACGGTGGTCGGAGCATCATGCTGTGGGGATGTTTCAGTGTATCTGGAACTGGGAATCTTGTCAAGGTTGAAGGAATAATGAAGAAAGAAGGATATGTGAAGATTTTGAAAGAAAACCTCAAGGAGTCAGCAGCAAAACTGGGTCTGGGTCGTCACTTTGTCTTCCAACATGACAACGACCCGAAACATGCAGCACTCCTGGTGAGGAGCTGCCTCCAGGAAACCAAAGTGAACGCTATTGACTGACCTGTACAAAGCCCTGACTTAAATCCCATTGAAAATCTGTGGGCTGCACTGAAGACCAGGGTCCATGCTAGTAGACCATCAAATCTGGAGGAGGTTGAAAGATTTGCCAAAGAGGAATTGGCTGGGATTCCTCAGGAGATGTGCCAGAGCCTTGTTACAAACTACAGCAATCTACTGCATGCTGTTATCCAGCAAAAAGGACACACAATTGACTATCAGGCTCAGGGGGGCTAATATTTTTGACCCTGGTAGTTTTTGGTTTTTGTGAAATAATTTTGTTTCTGTGTGCAAAGTAAAATAATGTGAGGATCCAAAATAAAACTAGAATGTTTGGAAAAGCTGTTTGAAAAAATCAATAATCTGTTGAACAGAGGTCTTACAGCAGCTTTCATGAGGAACTTTTTTTCCAATAAATGAAAACATGAAACAGTTTGAATAAAGGACTAAAGGAAACAATAGACTGAAGTGGGTCAGCTGGAGTGGGTCAGTTAGTCCTGATCCAGAGCTGCTCAGCATGCTCACGCTGGTGTGTGTTGTCAGGTGTGTGTTGTCAGGTGTGAGTCAGTGAAACTCATCATACGAAGGTCATTGTGTTTTTAAAACTTCAGCTGAGAAGCTTGAGTGTTGATTGGCTGTCTGTGTAGCCAGTCAGTGGGGGCGGTAGGTGGGACAATGTCACACAGCCAAGAGTGTTGACTTTAGGCAGAGAGGCAGCTGTGGTCAAGCTGAACGCCACGTTTTAAAATAAACTGATTTGATCGTCTATTGGTCGAAATAAAGGCAGATGATTATGGTCGTAAAAATGCAGAATATTGATTATTGGTCGTTCGTTACTTTTCTGTCTCTCACTTGAACCCTTGGTGTCTGTCTCAGTCCTCCTACCCCCCCATGCTGTCCAGAGGACTCCCTCAGAGACATCACATCGTGGTCTACATGCTGCTGCTCTCCTCCCTCTCTCACCTGCAGCTTCAGGTACTCGGACCCTCACATGTGAATCAAAAATGATGTTTGGCGCCACAGCGTGACGGTCTGACTCCTCCCTGCAGGTGTCCCTGAGCCCGTCTCTTGCTGAGGTCAGCGCCTGTTTGTGGGCCGACAGTCAGCTGGTCAGAGCCGTCGTGTCGGCCGTGGACGGGAAGGACTCCGAGGTTCGGTTTGACGACCTGCCCAGCAGCATCAGGTACTGACACTAAGTAAAACTGACTTAATGTATTGGTGGAGCTTGAAAGATTTGCCAAAGAGGAATGGGCTGGGATTCCTCAGGAGATGTGCCAGAGCCTTGTTACAAACTACAGCAAATGACTGCATGCTGTTATCCAACAAAAAGGACACACAATTGACTATCAGGCTCAGGGGGGCTAATATTTTTGACCCTGGTAGTTTTTGGTTTTATGTGAAATAATTTTGTTTTGAAAAGCACTAAAGAAATTTTGGAAAAAAAATTCATGGGGGGGGTAATAATTTTGGCCTCATCTGTATATCTTCGCACGCAGCAGCCACAGTGTAAATGATTAAAGGAGAGTGAACAGGTAAACTCCTGAACCTGAGGCAAATCAGGGAGTTGGAACAATGACGGGAAGTTGTCCCAGTGCAATAAAAGCTTTTAATTCTGGGTTAGACTCAGTTTAAAAAGTCAGTGAGGACGTGGTGGACCCAGGTAGTTCTGTGAGACCAGAACCACAGGAGTGTCTGTACTGGACTGAACCTAAGAGCAGACCGAGAGAAGGCCCACCGAGACCTCCATGTGGACAAACTTCCCCTCAGAGCGTCATCTGACCTTTGACCTCCTGCTCTCAGTGTCTCTCAGGTGTCTGCAGACGGTGCTCTGACCGACTCCTCTCTGCCGATGAAGGTGTTCGTCAGCCGGGCGCCATCCAGTGGCCCGGATGTGGAGCGGGTCAGCACCGGGACCAAGTACGCCCTGGAGCTGTGGCTGAGGAGTCTGAATACCTTCTGACCTCTGCCTTCTGACCCCTGCAGACATCATCAGGTTAATCAGTCCTGATGTGAGGAATGAACCGTGTGTCAATTTAAGGCAACCAGGGGGCAGCACTGCACCGAAGCTGTGCTGCTGTGTGTGTGTGCGTCTGTGTGTGTGTGTGTGTGTGTGTGTGTGTGTGTGCGTGCGTGCGTGCGTGCATGTGTGTGGACAATAAAACTGAAATCCTGTTGATGATTTATTCTCAGATTAACAATAAATATCATAAAGTGATTGAAGTCAACAGGACTGTCTGTGTTCATGAGTTTATTTGATTGATTATTGATTTATCAATAACTGTTATTGTCTGCTGGAAAAGGAAGAAGTGGATGATAGAAGGTCATTTCTTACAACGTCAGTCATTAAAGTAAACTGTTTTCAGGTTCATAGACTCAGATTATCCTTAATATTATTTTAAATATTATTAATTATTATCTTTAATATTATTTTGTATATAATAACAATAATAATAATAATTATTATTATTTTATTATTATTATTATTTTATTATTATTATTATTATTATTTTTATTATCCTTGACATTTATTTCAATATTATTATTATTATCTTTAGTATTTTTTGTAATATTATTAATTCTTTTTATTTTTTATATTTGTTTAATATAATTATTGATTATTATTATCTTAATTATTTTTTAAATTATTATTAAATATCATTATCTTTAATATATTTTAAATGTTATTATAAGTGATTATTCTCTTTAATAATTTTTTGAAAATTATTAACTATTTTTATCTTTAATATTATTTTAATGTAGTAATTCATTATTATCTGTAATATTGATTTTTTAATATTATTAATTAAATTATCTTTAATAAATTATCTTTTAATATTATTATCTTTAATATTATAATTATTATTATTATTAACTTTTATTATTTTTTGTATTATTATTAATTATTATAATCCTGAATGTAATTTTTATTATTATTATTATCTTTAATATTATCTTCTATATTATTTTCTTTAATAGTATTTTTAATATTATCTTAAATACTATTTTGTTAATTTAACTTTAATTTACTCTAATAATATTAATTGTAATTACCTATTTTTTTAAATATTATTAGTGATTATTCTCTTAAATATTATTTTTATATGATCAGTTATTATTATGTTTAATATTAATTTTGAATATTATTGATTATTTTTATTTTCAATATTAATATCTTTAATATTATTTGTAATATTATTTTAATTATCTTTTAAATTATTTTATTATTACTATTTATCATTATTATCTTTAATAATTTTTAAATATTATTAATGATTATTATCTTTCATTTTATTTAAATATTAATTATTAGTACTGTTAATATTATTTTAAATAATCTACTATTTATACAAGACTTTTGAAGTCTAATGGCTGTTAGTGCAAAAGATCTTCTGAATCTTTCTGCCCTGCAGAGAAAAGAGAGGAGCCGTCCACCACCATTGGCCCTTTGGTCCATCAAGGTGTTGTGAAGTGGGTGATCCATGTTCTGTAGAATAGACTCCACCTTCCTCAGTGTAGATCTTTCCACCACATCCTCCACTGAGTCCAGCTTGAATCCAATCAGAGTTTGTTAAGACTTCTTGCATCTTTGTGTTTGATGTTTCCTCCCCAGCAGACTGCAGCATAGAACAGAACACTTGCCACCACAGACTGATAAAACATCTGCAGCATCTTACTACAGATGTCTATTGATCAGAGTCTTCTCAGGCAAAAGAGGCGGCTCTGCCCCTTTCTGTGGATGAAGTCTGTATTCTTAGACCAGTCCAACTTATTATCCAGATGTACACCTAGGTATTTATATGATGTCACCACTTCGATTTCCACTCCACAGGTGTTTACTGGCTGAAGAGGGGGTTTGGATCTACGGAAGTCTATGACCATCTCCTTTGTCTTTGAGGTGTTGAGGAGGAGGCAGATTTTGTGACTCCAGTCACTGAAGGCTCTTATCAGATCTCTGTATTCAGCTTCTTGTCCATTTCAGTGCGATTTGTGATGCAATGACACGTTCAAGGATTTTTGACAGGAAAGGGAGGTTGGAGATGGGACGGAATTTATTGATGTCGTCAGGGTTGAGTCCAGGTTTTTTGAGGGTGGGGGTGACAGCGGCCAGTTTGAGTGAAGGGGGAACAATGGCAGAGTTGAGGGAGGAGTTGATGATCTGTGTGATGATGGGAGGGATGACAGGAAGGCAGTGCTTGATGAGGGAGGATGGGATGGGATCCAGGATGCAGGTGGATGATGACATGGAGCAGATGATGTTGGTCACGTCAGTTGGAGAAACTGGTGAGAAGCGGGAGAGTGCTGATGGGATGAGGGGAGGAGCTGGGAATGGAGGGTGGGGGAAGGGAGTTGTAGATTGTGTTGATTTTGGATTGAAAAGAGGAGAGGAATGAGTTGCACTTTTCTGGGGTGAAGGTGATGGAGATGCTGTCTATGGGGTGGAGCAGTTTATTGACTGTGGAGAAAAGAGCCTTTTGGTTACTGGAGCCGGAGTGGATGAGGTTGGAGTAATAGGAAGAACGGGTGGAGTTGAGGGCTGTGCTGTACAGGTGGAGATGGTTGGTGTAGGCTTGGAGATGGACGGTGAGGCCGGTTTTGTGGTAGAGACATTCCAGTTGGCGTTTGTGTGATTTCATTTTGTGCAGTTCTAAGGTAAACCAGGGGGCAGAGTGTCTAAATGAAACTGTTCTTGTTTTGAGGGGTGCGAACTGGTCCAGGCAGGAGCATAGAGTGTTATTGTAGTAGTTGGGTAGGTGAGCAAATTAAGCAGAAGGTGGGGGAGGGGATGCAGTGAGGAAAGCAGATAGGGAAGTGGAGAGGTCCTGAGGCGAGATGGATTTGAGGTTTCTGAAGGAGATGTGTCGTTTTTCACTGTGAAGGGGGGGGGGGGGTGTCAACTCTGAAAGTGATAGCCACGTGGTCAGATATGTAGAGGTTGATAGTGGAGAGATGGTGGATGGAGATGCCGGTGGAGCAGACGAGGTCGAGGGTGTGGCCGTGGGAGTGGGTGGGGGAGTGTACATGCTGGGTGAGGTTGATGGTGTCGAGTAGATCCAAGAAAATCAGAGGCTTGTTTGCAGGTGGGGTTGTCGATGTGAAAATTGAAGTCTCCAAGCAGCAGGACAGAGGATGAGATGGTACTTAGGTGGGTGACAAAGTCAGAGAAATCAGAGAAGAATGATGGGTGGGGCTTTGGAGGGCGGTAGATGGTGATAATGACCAGAGGGGTGGGGCCGGGGAGTTTGACGTAAATATTTTCAAATGGGTGAACAGACAGGGTGGGGATGGGGGTGGTCTTGAGGGTCTGTTTGTGGATGAATGCTATGCCACTGCCTCGTCCAGTGAGGCAGGGTTGGTGCATGTAGGAGTAACCTGGGGGCGTGGCTTGGTTGAGGGAAAAGAGGTTGAGATGGTTGTGCCAGGTTTCAGTTTGGCAGAGGTAGTCCAGGTTATTGTCTGTTAAGAAGTCAGCCAGGATGTGTCCTTTGTTGTTGAGGGAGCGGGTGTTTTGAAGGGCCATCTTCAGGGGAGGGGGCTGTGGGGTGGGCAGTGAGGCAGGGAGAAGGCAGGTTGAACGACGGCGACGTGAACAATGATATGGTGGATAGAGGGAGGAAGTGACTGGAGAAGACCGGGGAGTTTTGCTGTGATGTCAGCGACAGTTGCACCGGGAAAAGAATGAGTGATGGCATTAAAAAAACAGATACCTCGTGCAATGCTGTCACCAATGATCAAGGTGGTGGGTGGAAACAGCAGCGTGGGTTGCATGGCTCCTGTACCCGAAGCAGGGCTGATGGCCGGGCTGCGAGGACTCAGCGGTGCGGTGGATGCCTGCGGCAGCAGGGATGGCCTGCCATTTCGGTCCGGGGCGGCCGAGGACATGGTCCAGCTCTCAGAGCGATGGTCAAGGCGGTTCCCAGGACACCGCGTGACCAGGCACAGACGGAGAGGGGTCCCCTCCGCCAGTGCCAGGCCACACGAGAATCCCTCTGCAGGCCGGCAGGGAGGTGTTCTTGGCACCAGTGCCCAGTGACGCTTGGGAGCTGGTCGCCAGAAGAGCGGAGGCCAACCTATTGTCAGGCCGGCGGAGGCACCGGAGGACGAGGACAAAGGTCCAGAATCACCACCGGGTGGCCGTGTAGGTGCCATGGGAGCTCCGGCAGCCACTGTGGAGGATGCCACCATGTCACCGCCGAGAGGGGACTGGTTCGGGCTGGTGTTGTCAGGCTTAGGAGGATGCTTGAGGGCCTCGAAGTGGTTAGAAAGGGACAACCGGACTGTAGAGGCAACGCTGGAGGGATTTGTCGGCGAGGACCTCAGACCGGAGCAGTGGATTGCTTGGCGTGGAGCTTGAAGTAGGCCCGGACGGGTTCCAGGGGATGGTGTTGTTGGTTTTCCTACCTTGGATATCACTTACTGTAGGTCCAGATTGAGTCCTGGTTGGGTGCTGTGGTGGATGGTGGTCGGGACGAGGCCCTCGGCTGTGAGGCTCCCAGGGTAGTGTGTCCTGGAGGGTTGCTTGGAGGGAGAACAGGTGGAGGGATTGCTGGTGGGCCACATTCATACAAGTTGTGAGTAGAGTGGATTCCGATTTTAGCTCCTCGGACAGTTTTTGAACACGGAGTTTGAGTGTGGTAATTGTTTTATTTGCCTCGTGAAGCACTTCAGTCTTCTCTAGGAGTAGGGACTCGCTCATGCTCACTCTCGCGCTCTGCTCGCTCTCTCTCGCTCATGCTCGCTTAATGTCCCAGAAACACAGTTTCCCAGCCTGACAAACTGTGGCCTTCCTGTCAGGTAATCTGTGATCCAGGAAACACAGGCAGGATCCACTCCCATCTCTGTGAGCTTGTCTTTAAGTATGGTAGGTAGGATGGTGTTGAATGCACTTGAAAAGTTGAAGAACCGCTCCCTCAAGATGGCAAGATGGCGCCCCTGTGTTTGGCTGTCCGTCTCCCACTGTTGATTGTATTGCTGTTTATCTTGTGCTCACTGTTTGTTGCACGGATTGTGTCACCGCTGCGGGTGTATGATCGCCTGACACTTCTTAATATTCGGGACTCTGTTGGAAAGTCAATAATCTGTGGCTCTGATGGCCATTCAAAGACGCCGCCTCCTCTCCTGGCGTCTATACCGCCGCATCTTCGGCGTCTCTCCTGTTGCTTACCTCGCAAAAGTCGCCGCAGAAGACGAGGGAAGCGAGGAGGGATCCTTGTTAAAGTGAAAGCTTATCTGGCTTCCGTCCACGATCCCCGTTGCTTGCCAGCTGGATCCCTCGCAGACTACAACGGATACGATCTACGGAGCTCCACGGAGTACAGATATCGCTGGCTCCGGCCAGTTCTCCGGGACACCGGGGTTTTGCTCCCGTGTTGTCGGCCAGTGCGGATCTCCCAGCGGGGCTGTGTGCCGGGGAATCTCCGCCCGCTCAGCCGCTTCTCTCGCCTGACTGGTCGATACGCAGCTCATATGGCGCTGTTAAACGCCAGATCTCTCGCGAATAAGACATTTATTTTGAACGACTTTTTCGCTACCCGCGAATTGGATTTCCTCCTGCTGACAGACACTTGGTTAAAACCAGGTGAGATCAGTGTTTTCTCGGAGCTCCTCCCACCCGGCTGCTCCTTCTTCAGCACCCCCCGTGCTACCGGTCGTGGTGGCGGTGTGGCTGCTATATTCAAAGAGACCTTCAGATGCAAAATAATAAAGGCTAATAATTACTCCACCTTTGAGCTGCAGTTGTTTGTGATCGACCTCTCGTGTCCTGTGCTGTGTGCCACAGTTTATCGCCCACCCAATTTTAACAAGAACTTTCTCCAAGAGTTCTCTGAGTTCTTGTCTGATGTAATTCCCAAGTTTGATAAAATATTGATTTGTGGGGACTTTAATATTCATGTTTGTTGTGCAGCAAATCAACTTGCGAATGAGTTTAAAGGCCTTTTGGACTCGTGTGGCCTCACTCAATCTGTAAATGCACCAACACACGAACACGGGCACACTCTTGACCTTGTCATTTCTCGTGGGCTTTCAGTTTCCCTTAGAGAAATAGTCGACACTGCTATCTCGGATCATCTTCCGATTGTTTTTGATGTTGTTGCCCCCCCACCTCCCAACAAACCCATTTCCCCAGCCTGTAGACGCCGTATCTTCACTCCATCAACGGCCAGAGAGTTTGCTATCGCCTTTGGGAACTCTCAGATGCATGCTGACAGTGGACTGGTCCCCTCCCTCTGTCCGGACACCCTGCTCTCCACATTTCACTCTACATGCTCTGAAATTCTGGATTCTGTTGCCCCTTTTCGGCAAAAAATCACCAAAACCAAGGCTGATCCCTGGTTAAACGACCACACCCGTCTGCTCAGACAACAATGCAGACAGGCTGAGCGGCGGTGGAAAAAGGACAAACTGCATGTCTCGCTGGGTTGGTTAAGGGACAGTTTGGCTGCTTATCAGAGAGCTGTGAAGGAGGCAAAGTCCAAATATTTGGCCTCTGTTATAGCCAACAGCTCTAATCATCCGAGAGTACTATTTAGCACGATTGACTCTGTTATTAACCCATGCTCTACTGTCCTGTCTGATGCCTCCTCCTCCACCTGTGAAGAGTTTGCCTCTTTCTTCATAGACAAAGTGGCATCAGTCAGGCAGAATATCAGTTATATGTTAACGTCCCCCAATGATGTGTGTGCTCCTCCTGCACTATCTGCTGTTTTTGAGAACTTCGAAACAATTTCTCTGTCGTCTCTCACTAAGGTGGTTAGTGGCTTAAAACCCACTAACTGTCCCTTAGACATTATTCCAGCCAAGTTTCTAAAGGAGGTATTTAGTTCTGTTGGATCAAGCTTGCTGTTTTTTATCAACACCTGTCTTAGCTCAGGGTCTGTCCCAGCTGCTTTCAAACATGCTGTGGTTAGGCCCCTCCTCAAAAAAACGCATCTTGACCCCACTGTGCTGTCCAATTTTAGGCCTGTCTCCCACCTGCCATTTCTTTCTAAGGTTTTGGAAAAAGTTGTCTCCTTTCAATTGCATGCATTTTTAGAGGTAAATTCTGTTCTTGATAAATTTCAGTCTGGTTTCAGGTCTCGACATAGCACTGAGTCAGCACTGTTAAAGGTACATAATGATATTGCCCTGTCCGTGGATGCTGGAAACCCCGCTGTGCTGGTCCTGCTGGACCTCACAGCGGCTTTTGATACAGTCGATCATGCAATCCTTGTATCTCGCCTTGTAGGCATCCGTGGCACCGCTCTCAAATGGTTTAAGTCGTACCTGGCAGATAGGAGTTTTTTCCGTGATGATTGGTGACCTCTGCTCCTCACAGGCGCCTCTCTCTTGTGGGGTGCCACAGGGCTCTCTTCTTGGCCCTATTCTGTTCTCTTTGTATTTACTACCCCTGGGATCAATTATAAGAAAATACAATCTGTCTTTTCATTCGTATGCTGATGACTTACAGTTATATTTGCCCATGCGACCCAACGAGAACAGTGCACTTTCTCACTTACTGGACTGTATTACTGAAGTAAAACAGTGGTTGGCTCTAAACTTTTTGCACCTAAATGACAGCAAAACTGAGTGTATTTTATTTGGCACGCCATCGATATCAAACGCTGCTTCCAAGATGGCGCCGGTGTGTGTGGCCTGCCGTCTCTCGCTGTCAGCGCTGTTCCTGTTTGTGCTGTTTGTGTCTTTCGTTATCAGTAAAGTAAGCTCACTGTATGTGTATGACCACCAAACACTGCTGGATCTTCGCCCCTCTGCTAAGGATTTGGTGAAAGTAGATCCTGATCACTGTGGTCACACGACGTTTAAGCCGTTTCACCCCTGCGGTATACCTGCTCACCTTCGCTGCACTTTCGCTCCATTTCCCCGGCGTAAACGCCGGCGCCGCCGTGGCAAACGCAGCGGACAGCAGGTGAAAGTTAAATCTCTTTTGGCTCGATCTTCCGTGGTTTCCCTGAGGAGAAATGGAGTGGGATCTGGTCTCTTTCCTCATCTGCGATCGCTGCACCCTGTCGACTCCTGGCTGGTACCTGTCGTCGGATCCGATGGGATGGTCCGTCCCCGCGGCCCCTGCTCTCCTCGTCCCCGCCGGCGTGGGGTGAATCCCCGCCATCTACGGGCCCTGTGTCGGGCTCCGCGATCAGCTGATGCCTCGGATGTGCCGATCTCTGCCAGGTTCGGCCTAGTCAATGCCAGATCACTGGCAAACAAAACTTTTATCCTGAAGGATTTCTTCATGTCCCGTGGATTGGATTTTCTCTGTGTGACGGAGACATGGCTGAGTACCGGTGAGTCCAGTCCTCTTATTGAACTCTGCCCGCCGGATTGCTGCTATTTTAATTCCCCGCGGTCGTCTGGTCGAAAAGGAGGTGGAATAGCAGTTATTTTTAAAAGCGACTTTAAATGCCGGCAGATCTGCCTGAAATTCTCATTCACAAGTTTCGAAATGTGCTTGTTTGAACTGGGCTGCTCTCATGTTGTCCTGTGCGCCGTCATCTATCGACCACCCAAGTACAATAAGGATTTTATAAGTGACTTTTCTGAATTTCTGGCCGAAATTCTGCCGAAATACGACCGTGTCCTTATTGTTGGTGATTTTAATATCCACACTTGTTGCCCTGAAGAGCCGGTCTCCAGGAGCTTATTAAATCTCATTGACTCTTTTAACTTCGTGCAGTCTGTGTCCGGTTCTACACATAATCTCGGGCACACACTAGACTTGGTGCTCTCGCATGGTCTGTGTGTGTCTAACCTTGTCATTTGTGACGCTGTTTTCTCGGATCATATGCCGATTTTATTTGACATCCCCACTCAGTGTCCGGTTAAATTGCGCGTTCCACCTAAACCGCGTCGCATGTTTAACTCTTCCTCGCCTGCTCTGTTCTCCTCTACCTACGTTGGTCTCTGCGAGGATGACTCTGCAGCCCCTGTGTGTTTGGATACTGAGGAACTGGTACTGAGATTTCACTCCACCTGTTTACAAACACTGGACACGATCGCTCCTCTGAAGACCCGGCGCACCAAACCTACACCCGAGCCCTGGTTGAACGACGTCACTCGTGCAGCCAGGCGTGAGTGCAGGAGGGCAGAGCGCAGGTGGAAAAAGGACAGTCTGCAAGTGTATCTTGGCATCCTTAAAGATAGTCTGAGGAATTACCAGAGGATTGTGAAAGCTGAGAAGAATAAATATTTCTCTGAATTGATTGCTTTTAACTGCAACAACCCCAGAGCTCTGTTCAAAACCATAAACACTGTCCTTGAGGCTCCCAAGTCTCTTGGTTTTGATGCCTCCACTGAAATCTGTGAAAAATTCCTCCACTTCTTCAGTGATAAAATTATGTCAACCAGAGCCTTCATCTCTCAGCCATCGTATGACCCTTCAGCCCCTCTGCACCCCTCATCTGTCTTCTCTAAATTTGAGTCTGTGTCCCTCTCTATTTTAAAGGACATAGTCAGCCATATGAAGCCTTCTGGTTCCCCTGCTGATGCCATCCCCCCTCGCTTGTTTAAAGAGGTACTTGCTACTATTGGACCAAATGTCCTTAATATTGTCAATTGTAGCCTCTCATCTGGTACAGTACCTAGGGATTTTAAACATGCTGTGGTACGACCTCTACTCAAAAAAACTGGCCTTGACCCATCCCTCTGTGCCAATTTCAGGCCCATCTCAAATCTTCCATATCTGTCCAAGATTCTAGAGAAGGTTGTCTACAACCAGTTGTTACCATTCTTGGAAGACAATGGTATCACAGAGTTGTTCCAGTCTGGTTTTAAAGCTCTCCACAGCACAGAGTCAGCACTTTTAAAGGTTTCAAACGATATTCTAATGACAACAGACTCTGGAAAGTTTGTTGTCCTTGTGCTCCTAGATCTGTCTGCTGCATTTGACACTGTTGACCACAGCATTTTAATCTCTCGCCTGGAGCACTGTGTGGGCATTAAGGGTGTTGCCCTGGACTGGTTCCGGTCTTATTTAAGGGACAGAAGTTTCTGTGTTCAAATTGACAACTCTGCATCCTCAACAGCTCCTCTTCCACATGGGGTCCCTCAGGGCTCAATCCTTGGCCCTCTTTTATTTGCCTTTTATTTACTCCCCCTTGGTTCTGTTTTTAGGAAACATGGCATCTCCTTTCATTTTTATGCTGATGATTGTCAGATCTATCTTCCACTAGCACAGAACAACTCCAACTCAGTCCACCAACTCACTGACTGCCTTAAGGACATTAAAGCCTGGCTTTCTTTTAACTTCCTCAGTCTAAATGAGAACAAGACTGAGGTAATGTTGTTTGGACCAAGTGGCGGCCACCCCCCAACATCGACCTAGGCTCCCTCTCACCCTACCTAAAAGAGGTCATCACTAATCTGGGAGTTAAATTTGACCCGGATTTTAAATTTGAGAAGCAGATCAGCGGAGTGGTACAAAAAAGTTTTTATCAGCTACGTCAAATAGCGAAGGTGAAGCCCATTTTATCAAGACCTGACCTGGAAAAATTAATCCATGCTTTTATAACTACCCGTCTTGATTACTGCAACTCCTTGTACGTAGGGATCAGCCAGGCTTCCCTTGCTCGCCTGCAGCTTGTGCAGAACTCTGCTGCACGTCTCCTGACACAGACCCGCAGGCGTGAGCACATCACCCCCATCCTGGCATCCTTACACTGGCTCCCTGTTCAGTACAGAATTCATTTCAAGCTTTTAGTATTTGTTTTTAAGGGCCTGAACAACCTTGCTCCACCCTATATTTCGGAGATGCTCCAGCCTTATTGCCCACCCCGACCCCTAAGATCAGCTGATCAGCTTTTACTGACGGTCCCCAGTACTAGGCTGAAGCTCAGAGGGGACAGAGCGTTTGCTGCTGCTGCCCCTAAGCTCTGGAATGAGTTGCCCTTGAAAATTAGACAGGCCTCCTCATTTCCTGTTTTTAAATCCCTTTTAAAAACGCACTTTTACTCATTGGCTTTTAGTACATTGTAGTGTTAATTTGTTTTTTATCATTTTAGCACTTGCTGTGAGCCTCCTTATTTATACACTTATTTATTCTTTTGCATTACTGTATTTCTGCTTGCGTTATCTTGTTTTTTGATTGTTTTATTTGTTTTTATGTCACTGTACAGCACTTTGGCTACCCTTGTGGTTATTTTAAATGTGCTATACAAATAAAGTTGATTGATTGATTGATTGATTGATTGATTGATTGATTACAGACTCTGGAAATCTGGCGCCTTTTTTCAAGCCACATGTAAAGAATCTTGGGGTAACATTTGACAGTGGACTTAAGTTCGATAAACAGATTAGATCTGTCGTCAGTACCAGCTTTTTTCAACTGCGTCTCCTGGCCAAAGTGAAGTCCTTTTTAAGTCGGCAGGACCTCGAGAAGGCAATCCATGCCTTCATCAGTTCCAGACTGGACTATTGTAATGCCCTTTATGTTGGCCTCAGCCAGTCTTTAATCTCCCGTCTCCAGCTTGTACAGAACGCTGCTGCACGATTTTTAACGGGCACGTCTAGGCGTGAACACATCACCCCTGTGCTGTCTTCGCTACACTGGCTTCCAGTTTGTTTTAGAATTGACTTTGAACTTTTATTTACTTTTTATGCCATAAATGGCCTGGCCCCCTCCTACCTGTCAGAGATTTTAACTGTTCGCGATCATGGCAGGGCCCTCCGTTCCTCCGGTCAGCGCCTGTTGGAGGTCCCGAGGTCAAAACTCAAACAGTGGGGTGATCGTTCTTTTGCTGTTGCAGCTCCTAGGCTGTGGAACAGACTGCCGCTAGATGTACGCACCACCACTGACCTCAGTTTATTTAAATCAAAGTTAAAGACGCACCTTTTAAGACTTGCTTTTAACTCTGACTAGGTAGTCCCGTACTTATAGGTTTTTTAGCACTTCTACATACTATTTTATTGTATTATTTTATTTTCATATTCATTTTTATTATTTCATCGTTCTTGTATTATTCTATTCTATTGTATTATTTTATAATGGTATTTTTTCTTGTGTTATTTTATTGCTTTTATGTAAAGCACTTTGGGTACCATTTGGGATATTGTAAAGTGCTATATAAATAAAATTTGATTGATTGATTGATTGATTGAACATGATCCTCACATAAACCCCATGTTCCTCCAGATGAAACAGGGCACAGTGAAGCATGTAGAGTACAGCATCATCCACTCCAATGTGTTCTTTGTATGCAAACTGCAGGGAGTCCAGTTTGTCTTTGACCTCAGACCTCAGAAGGCGTAGAATCAGCCGCTCCAGAGTTTTCATGATGTGTGAAGTGAGGGCCACTGGTCTGTAGTCATTGAGTTTAGCAGGACATTTTGTTTTTGGTACTGGCACAATGCAGGATGCTTTCCACAGAGCAGGTACCCGCCCCAGTTTTAGACTCAGGTTGAAGATCTTGTGGAGAGGTTGACACAGTTCTGCAGCACAGTCTCTAAGCAGCCTTGGACACACACCATCTGGACCAGCTGCCTTCCCAGGACAAAGTCTTTCAAGCTCCATACTCACCCCTGTTTCGGTGAGAGACAAGGACTGGTGTTCTAGGAGGGAGGCAGTTGAAGTGGTTGAGACATTTGAACAAGATGGAGAAGTTGTAGTGGAGATTTGTTGCGGAAAGGAAGGTGGAGTAGCAGTGGGAGTGGATGTGACAGCAGTGTCAAATCTGTTGAAGAACAGGTTTAGTTAATCAGCTCTTTCTGGAACACCCACCTGTAATGGAGACGACTGGTTTCTGCTTTTCCACTTTTAATTCACCCACTAAGGAATGCAGGCTTCCCTGATCAGGAGAGGAAATGGGAGTAACGTTCACACCTAAGTTATGGCCTTTTACGATCCAAGACAGAACCGAGGGGTCCTCTCCCGAAAGGCTGATAGTGAATCTTTTACACTTCAAAGAGACAAGTTGCTTATCAACGACAGGACCCCCAATAAACATTCAGCCTCTCACCTTGGCTGGAAAACCTCATAGTTGACACCTCAGCTTGAGGATTGACCCAAAAAATCATGAGAAACTCTCCAAGGCTGCATTCTGGTGTCAATCCCTGAAACAGACCCCTTCCTTAAATTCTCTGAGTGGCTGTGTTTTTCCTGTGACTCTCTCTAGGTGCAGAAGGAAGAGAATGACTGAAAATGGTTTAATGTCAGGTTTAATGGACACCTCACCAGGATTTTCTATCTGTACACCACATCATCAATGAAACAGTCTTTGTCCCATTCGTCTAGCATGTCTACAAGTCAAACTGTTAACTTCACAAATTTATTCCAGGTTTTCCATGGACCAAGAGCTCCCCCTAGTGGTGTTGTCTGAATGATATGTATTCATTGAATTTAATTATGTGCTTGTAGCTGTATGTACTTTGTAGCTTAGTAAATGGTATTCTCAAGAGAGGTTAGCAATTTTAGAAGTAGTAACTGAAAACTCTTTTATACTTGAGTGTTTTGAACGTTTAAATGCTATGTTTTTATCTACCTCACCAGAATATACAGTATATGTTAATCATTTACTAAGAACTCTTTTGGTTCACGCCCCACATGAACTGCTTAAAAGAGCTGAGCTTTTGCTGCCCTCTAGCTCTTTTTTTTTTTGACTTTTGTGTTTTCGACCCTCTTCTTGTTTTAACGTCTTAGCGTTTTTGTCTCCGTCCAGCGTCTTGTAATTTTTCCCCGCGTTTTTGTTATTTGCCTTAAGTTTTCAGACTTCTCCAGAAATTTCGATGAAACCATGCCCAAGTTTCTTCAAAGCATCAGTAATTAGCTGCGCGCATAGAGAATCTTATTCGAAGTCTTTTATTTTGTTTAGTTCGCTAAAGTGACTCCTGAAGATAATATCGGCTGGCCAGCGAAATTATTTTCTTAAGTTACTGGTGCGAATTAATCTGCAGTAAAGCTAATCCTGAATGCCCAGAGGACCGACCTGCATCATCTGCCGAGCTGCATTTGCCACCCGGTTCCGAGAGGCCAAGAGAACTGAAGTATCTAACGGCGCTGACATGGTCCTGAAGCCTGAGACCCATTCACGGCGGAGAACTCCTCGCCGAAGCTTCAGCATCTGGTCCGGTAGCCACAGAACTTCAGATGATTCATTCCAAGAGTGCCGCTGAGAACCGAAATCAAAAGTAGGCAAACCCCTCGAAACTGCTGTATCAACTGGGTGATGCTGTCAAGCACCCAAGCAATTTTTTCTTATTATAGTTCAGTTTTTCAAATTCCGCTTCAAAATTTATCCATGTAACTCCGTTAACGGAGGTTAAATTTTTCCTTATTCACTCACTATAGCTGCGTTTCCATTACCCATAGATTTGCGCAAAACCTAAATATCGCAATAGAAAACTGGTAATGGAAACACCTTAATTTCGAAAAACCTCTCAAATATCGCTAAAAAGTGTTTACACTCTCATGAGGTGGTTTTTAAGAGGTGTCGATATAGAAGTATATCGCAAAAGTGTAATGGAAACACTATTCTCGCAATTCTATGTCACCTGACGTGACGTAGCGGGTAAGGTGACCAGTTCATTTCAAGTGAAGATGGCGCGGTATGTGTGGACGGAAGTTTTGAATCCACAATTCGTCTGTGAATTCCTCAGTAACGATCCTCTCCCAGAAATCCCTCATCTGTGTCCGATCCCATACATACAGGTTTTGCCTTTGAATTATCACCCGCTGCCTTCGTCTTCTGGTGACAGCAGCGGCAACAGCAGTAATGGTCACAGAAATAGTTGCTCCAAAACGCAAAATGTTTTGTGTCTCCTCCATGTTCGTGTGCAAAAAGGCTTAAGGAATACAAGGTCGCACAGGCAGGAAGTTTACCTCGTTGCTAGGCAACAGCCAGTAAAACACGGCTCGCGAGAGGCAGACGGCTCGCTTATGCTCTGAACACCATTCAATGGAAACACCTGCAAATCGCAATTGTACTTTGTCGAAATTTGATAAACATAGCTTTTATTTTGCGAAAAAATGTAATGGAAACGCAGCTTATCATTAACCTCCAGTCTTAGGTTCAGTTCAAACCATTCCTTCATTTATTCATTAGATGTTATTTTAATTTCTCATTATTTGATAATCATTTATTGAAGTTATGTTATCATACAGCATTTGTCAATAAATTGTTCATTTAATTTTAAGTTGTCATCTCTTAGTGGTCCTTCCAGAGGCGAAGTCCCTTAAATGAGAATTCCAGCCTCAGATGTGAGATTGATTTAAATCTGTTTAAGACTGATCCAACGTTTGATTACTCAATTGAACTTTGTTTTGTCTTTTTCCTTCCAGAAAGGTGGGTGGTGCCCCTTCAACGAGTGCATAAATGTCATAATTTAATTTTA